TGTAATTTGTATTGTATTCAAAAAAGAGAAGGAAGTTTGTCTCGGTGTCCTGGTCAACATTGCCCAGATAAAATTGGTCATTCACTTCATGAAAGTTGTTGTTGTTGACAAATTAGTTGCCTAAAATATTTGGGGGTCAGCTGGGAATCTGACACATGCAGAAACCCATCACTTTTGTTTAAGAGTATCTAAACCAAACTGAAAGTTCCATGCATTGCACCTACACATGGAAATTCCAGAGATAGATTGTTGGAATGGAATGTGGATGCTCGTCCTGGAGGGATTGCCTACAAATACACTGTAGCTGCACATTACAGTAATTCCCGGGAAACACTTTGAGATGTTTTGATGACCTGATAATGGAGATTATTATTACCGCATACCATCAGCTCAGCATCTCTAGTCATTGATGGCTAAACTACTGTTAAGATGAACCTTGGATTTGCAGCACTACACAAGGTTCTGACTGTAATATTATGAATGGCCAGTGTACAAAGTAGCCCTTTGCTAGTTCAATTTAACTCTAAACAAGAATGCTGCTGATTCTGTATATCTACACAACAACAACAACTTGCACTTATATAGCACCCTCCACGCAAGTAGCGTCTCAGAGCACTTAAATGTCCTCCCGACATAAAAGGCAAGTAGCGTCTCAGAGCACTTAAATATCTAATGGAATTGAAACATAAACCACTGCATTAGCACAATTCTACAAGTCATTGTCTGTTAACTAGCGCCTTGGGACGTCCTCCCGACGTGAAAAGCACTATACAAATGTAATCTTGTTGTTGTTGTTGTTATCTGTTAACTATTAAACCTTAGGCAAGTTTCCTTACTCCACATACCTGTTTACCCAACAGTAAGTAGGAACCTGGTTATTAGTCAATTGGCGGATCATGTTTCAGGGGTAATAATTCCTCCCAAAACAATTCTCTCATTCCACGACTGTTGGTGTGACACTGCTATGCGCAATTGGCTGCTGCTTTCACCCACAAAGTACAGCCAATCCATTTTATAATATATTCTGTGAAGCCCTTTGAGACGTCTCCACGACTTGATAAGGTGTTATATCAAATGAAAGGATTACTATTATTATTATAACCATTACTCACAATATTCTGCTGTCCAATTATTATGGAAGTATTCACCCCAAACTGTTACCAACGGTAATCAATCCCTTCCCCCACTGTAACTGGGTGTGAATTATACTTGGCGTCCCCTATGACTTCCAGTGAAAGTTTCCATCCTGCCATTTGTTATACGAGGTCTCAAATCTTCTCAAATCATGCTTCCCTGGAAGCATGGTTCACTTTATAAACTAAATGTTCAGAGCAGAGGAGACTATTTGGCTCATTGTGCCTTTAGCTCCCTCAGCTGACCTGTGTACTTGAACCCCACTTACTTGCTCTTTTCCTGTACGCTTTTTTATATATCCACTTTAAGCTACTTGGCCAACAGACCTCTACGTAAATTGGTCATTCATTTCATGGCTATTTGTGGAATAGTACTGCGTGGAAATTGGCTGCCCTGTTCGCCTGCAAGAAAAAAGTCACTGCAGTTGACAACCACCTATGAAGTACCTTGATGGTTTGGGCACTATATCAAATGCAAGGTTTGTTTAAGTATCATAAAATGGTACAGTAAAGCTTGTATAAGTCTGATCTGTATAAATCACATCATTGCCTTAGTCATACATATGCCCAAGTCCTGTTCAAGAGTTTTATTCTATGCAAGTTTGATATAACTCATACTTTGCATAGGTCATATTAAATGTATGGTCCCAACTGATCCGACTTATGTGAGATTTACTAAATAATTTAAAGACCTCTCCCCCCTCAATATACACACTCTTTTGCTACTAGTGGTTTATGAACAACAGAAATAACATGCCCAAAAAGCACGAGGTATTGTTTTTCCCTGTGTTCTCGGGGTGACTCAATAGCCATTTCATTCTGGTGTCAGAAAAAGCCTCGACACTACTTTCATCATAAATGCATTTATTTGGCCCTAAAATCTGGACAATTTATTATCGAGTACAAGAGATATATACGTATACAGACAGTGTTCACAAGGTCAGTGACATGAAGCAGTGTGAAATGAGAATTGAATGGTCCCCTAAAATGAAGTCAATGTTCAGAATAGGCAGGAATTGTTTCATCAACTCCAATGGCTTCCGATTACTTGTGAGACCTTCGAACTATTACAATTGCCAGGCTGCAGGGCTAATCGACATTGCAGGATGCAGACTTTCAAACCTCTTCAAATACAATCTCTGGTAAGACGAGGCCTTCATACATATCAACAGAATATATAATTTTTTCAATAAAAAATCAATAAATTAAAAGGTCATTCTGTAAAATCACAACAATCAAACAATTTTGAGGTTACTAACTGATTGAAAAGTTAACTTAATTTCTGAATTGTTTTCACTTAAAACTTGGGCCTCGGCAGGAATGTCAAATATGGATGAAATTGGGAGGGAGCTAATGCCAGCAAAGGCACAATGAGCCAAATAGTCTCCTCTGCTCTGAACATTTGGTTTATAAAATGAACCTAATGGAGAGGTGCTAGCTTGTCCGTTAATACAACTCCTAATAACAATCGACACATTAATGACAAGGCGATTCAAGGAGATTTGAAATCCAATGCTAAATGGAGAACAGTGTGCAACGAGAGGTTAGCACAAGTGTGAGAAGGAGCGTGAAGCAGATATGAAGGAAGTGTTACACGTGGATATCACATGCATTGCGAGTCACATTCAGGGTGAACTGAGATTGTGCAATGCTGAGGACATCATTGATTCTCCAGCCACTTCTATGGTGGAAAGGCTCACCACCCACCTAAAGGGAAATGGCAATATTCTGTCATGTGACTGTCTGCGACATACGTATACAGACAACGAAAAGAAACCAGTTTGCAATTATTCTTGGGTATAGCACATAACTTGCCATACATTTTGTTTAATATTTCAAAAATACTGCTGAAGAAAACTGTTAACCTAATAAAAATATTGGTTACTTTTAACGCAATAATCAATCTATGACAGCAGAACCTATTCAATGCAGTACAAAAATATAAGTTGAATTACTGACAGTGGGGTGCATTGTGCACCATGTGCACAGAGGGAATTTTTACAGGTGCCTTTAATTGTGTAATTGATGACCAATGAAAAAGATTCCTCAGTTTTTGAGGAATGCAGCTCTCTGAGAAACAACTAATTGGGGTAATGAAACGTACATATGGAGGAAGTAAAAAGTAACATTTTAATGGCATGACTAACTCAGGACATCCATAATCCAGAAACCAGGGAATCTACATGAAGGTGCCTAGAGGCCTTCAACCTTTTTTCCCATTGATAACATTTCTGCCCATGTATAAATACTGTCCCATCCCCGCTCTCAGTAGCAAGAAGAACAGATCAGATCCCTAAATCCCAGAGCTGGTTAGCTTCATTGATCAAGGGGAGCACCTTCTCTTAGTACCAATTCAGTTAATCAAAATTTTTTTTATATAAAAAGCAATAAAACGTGCCAAAATAAGACATTCTGTACAGCTACATGCAACTCTTATTTAGAAGAAATGTGATTGAGGGGCACAGGACAATTCAGGTACTATGTGACTACTCTGCTAGGGTCCCGAGATTTGTACCTCTAATGCTCTAATCTTATCCTTATCTTGAGGGAAGGCAGATTATTTACAATCACTGGAATAGAGCCAACTTCTCGATGGTCGACGTGCTTTCGGGGACATTCATACCAAAAAGGTGTCAAATACAGTGGTCTGGCAAAAAGGGCAGGTAAATGGGACTGAAAGGACAGGTTTTAAAGGAGCCACACATGCCCCGAAAGGCCTTTATGTATGTTGCACATTTCTATGATTCATTTCAATGAGTGACATTATTCAAAGAGAAAATGAGCAACATTCCCAAGTTCAGTGCCCAGAAAGAACCACCTTTGCTCAGATCATCTTCCAAGCGATGGCTGCTACCAACGATTGCAAACCTATTCCAGAACACAAAAATATTGGCAGTCTTAAGCAGAAATGGAAGCATGCAAGCCAATAATTTCAGCAATGAAGAAAGAGAGGAAATATTTCAGATGTAAATATTTTTCTGATTAAGTTTTCCATACTCTTCAGAGAAGAAAACTGATGGTTATCTGGAGAAACGGGGTTGCGAGCAGATGTTTCCACACTCTCTTCGTTCACACTCACAAGATATATGCATATACACAAGATAACAAAAACTGACTGGAGGGACGCGATAGTTGGTTTCTAAGCAGAGTGAGGCGTGATGATGGAGTCAGCTAAGGGTTGGGGCCGTCACGTCCCTTATCAATCGCATTCAATGGCTTCTCAATCGTATTCTTACATTTAAAATCTGAGCTCAAAGTGCCAAAGTTATTTGGTGAAACCATGAAGATTCTCAGGTGGCATATGATACGTTTTGGACACTGGGATTTTAAGGTAAACTGTTCCAGGAAGTAAAACTCGCATAAGTCTGATCTTTATAAATCATATAATCACCTAAGTCATACATCTGTCCAAGTCCCGTTCAAGAATTTATACTCTATGCAAGTTTAACATAAATCACATTTTGCATAAATCATATTAAGTGTATGGTCCCAACTGATTTATGAGACGGTTACTGTATTTTGAACACCCATGAAGTGCTTCCATCTTTCTAAAGCTGCTGCCAGTTGCAGTTATTAAACTACTTCTTAATGAATAAGGGAGTGACTTTTTTCTTCAAAATACAGTAGCAAATGATCCACAATGCTGCTTATAGGATTTTACACACTCTGGAATGGACAGGGCATGGTCACTGTGAATTGGTTAGAGCAGGAAGTTCATATGGAGCAGACAAGCAAAGCAGGCACAATCAATAAAAATAATAATTTGGCCACTCAATCCACGACACTGCTGTGCACAATTGGGTGCCGTGTTTTGCCCACAAAATACAATCAATCCACTTTACAATATATAGATGTCTCAACAATGTGATAAGGCGCTGTATCAAATGATTATTATTATTGATCACACCGACTGGACAAGGTAAAATTATCTCAAAGAGCTCTGCTCCACTCAGGAACATGTGGGCTGCAACAAATGGGAGGATGACATGAAAACGATTTGTGAGGGGTAAGCAACTTATTCTCGTTCATGCTGTTAAATTGTGTTGTTCGGGAATGTTACAGATGCAGTTGTCTAATCTGGGGCCATTAGTCCAGCTCACTTGAAACCATTGTGATTACTGAACCTTGCAATGGCTACAACTGTTACATGAAGAATGCAGGAAAGGTTTCATCTGGTAAACAACCCTTTTTTATGAGAACCCCACTGGTTGATTTTCCTTGCTTTCATTTGTCTTTCTGGTCCGGGTGGATTTCTCAATGACTTTAACTTGTTTGAGTTTGGTTTCCTTTGCTGCCAACGTTCATCCTTGTGATTGTGTCACTGTTTCCTGTCTAGAGTAAAGCACTGGGTCGGTCAAAACGTCAATGATGATAATAATGAGGAGAAAAGCTCAGAACTCCATTAGTTTACAGAGCCCTTTCGCTCCTCACTCCAAACACAGAGGTTCTCTCTGTTCATATATGGCTTTCATTATCAAAATCATCTGTCTCCGATGCTAACCAAACCGAAGAATTCAAATCAAGGAAGAACTTAAGTTTTCCACTGAATGAGTGAAGGGTTTTTTTCTGTGATAAAAGGTATTTCATGACTTTTAAGAAGTAGAACTTGAAGCAAATCATTCTCAATCCAGCTTCACATTGTTCGCAAAAGTAGCTTCATACTTGTTAAAGGGAAAGTTTAACATCCTTGCAACGATAGCTCTGGTCTGACCTTTCCCTCAAGTCCTGACTCGAGTGTTACATTCATGGTAGTTGAGTAGACAAGGATCATCAGACAAAGGCTCATGGGTGAAGACAGAGTCACTGGAGGAGCAGGTGCTGGTGCTGTCCTCGCACGAGGGGGAATACTGTTCGAATGGCGTGGAGAGGTCCAAATACTGTCAGGGGACAAAATACAGACATATTCACTTCATCTGAGTGACTTTGTAATCATTTTCAGAAGGGTTTACATTAAAATCAATCTGTCTGGTTGTCTCTGTGTCTGTCTATGCGTCTTTCTGTGCATGTGTGTGTCTGCCCACCTGTCTGTCTCCGTGTCTGTCTGCCTGTCTTCGTGTCTGTCCGCCTGTCTCCGTGTCTGTCCGCCTGTCTCCGTGTCTGTCTGCCTGTCTCCGTGTCTCTCCGCCTGTCTCCGTGTCTGTCTTTGTGTCCATGCCTGTCTGTCTATTATGAATGTTCCAGGTAGCTCGTATCCATTTATCTTTGGGACCTTGGTTCCTGTCTAGCACAGATTGAAAAGCTGAAAGTCTTCCTTCTTTCTTGTCTGCAATGAAACAAACCATCTCAATCCAGTTCTATGAGGTCCCAGATCCTCTGCACATCATTGGCACAGGTCAGGACAACTTATAATAATAATCCTTGCATTTGATATTGCACCTTATCACGTCTTTGAGATGTCTCAAAGTGCTTCACACAATATACCGTAAAGTGAATTAACTGTATATTTTGTGGGCGAAGTGCGGCAGCCAATTGCACACAGCAGTGTCCCTCAAACAGTCGTGGATTGAGTGACCCAATTATTTATTTCTATTTTAAATTTTGGAGGAATTATTACCCCCGGAAAAGTGATCCGCCAATCGACTAACAACCGGGTTCCTACTCACTGCTAGATAACAGAGGCATATGGAGTAAGGAAGTTGGCCAACTTTTCGCCCTCGTGGAATCAAGCCCAGATCCTCTTGCTTTACGAGGCGAGTGCTTTAACTACTAAGCTCAGTACTCAACACTAATTTAACAATGCAGCTCAGAGAGGTTGGTAGGATGACCAGCTGGCCTGAGTGGAAAATGGAAATATTGAAAGTAGTGTAGTGGGGGCTTTTCTGAGGTTGGGGGTGAAGGTGCGTTGGTTCAGGCTGAATAGAGAAAGGTGTACTGGGCATTTCACTTTTCTATACCTACCAATGCTCACACTCCCCATCAGAGATCTCCATCACATTGGGTGCAGAATATTGTGAAAAACATAGCTCATTAACTCAAAACAAAACTTCGCACTTCTTGCCTCAATTGTCCTTATTCAAGTTTCTAAAGACTGCTATATTTGTAGTCACTGGATACTGATCACATAGGAACGCTATACTAAAGTGAGCCAGTCAAAATAAACCTGGAGGCAATCAATTTGTGAACATCACCCTGCTTCAATTGCAATGTCAAAGCATTACACGTTGTTAAAATGATTAACTGCAGGAATCTCTACTATTCATTGCTAACTGGCCATCCCACCCTGCAGCAATGTCTTATAGTTTGGAATGGAATCCAGCCAGTACAGTACATGATCAGGGAATCTCTCACTGGCTTAATCCTAGTACAAGGTTAACAGATACAGCTGAGAGCAAGGTGCACTGACCTCATCCGATATTGCAGACAAGACCTCATCGAGTTCTGCCACAAGCTGTTTAAATGTTGGCCTCTGGGAAGAGGCTGCGTGCCAACATTCTCTCATTAGCAAATACCTGGGAAAAAAGCACAAGTTTGTAGGATCTGGCAACAACTAATAGCCACACACAACTGACACCAGAAGCAATTCACGAGGAGACTCATCCTTGTTATTGTGAGTCCAGATTGATAAGCCAAACTACTGAACATGGCTCAGCTTATGGCTCCTTCACACTGTGGGCTTTGTTCCAAAGAGATGCTCATCAGTAATCCAAATTGATCAGATTACTGATCTACAGCACAGTTTACTTTGCTGCTGTTGCTGCCCATGCCTGTTATGTACAGTATGTTACTGATCTGCACATCTGGGTGGCATGTTTTCTGGATGTACAGCTGGCTTAACTGTGCTACGGCTGTTGTCCTACCATGTGAACCATCATGGCCACCTCCATCCAGTGGTGTTCCACTTGTGGTGCTGGAAGCATTAATTCACCAAATATTCACATGTAAAAGTCAAGAAACTTGTGCCTCCAAAAGCAGAATTGGGGTGCTTCTCCCTTTCTGCTTTCTGTCCTTCCTTTTTTTTAATAAACTGACTGGTTTCTGTTTGTACAAAAAGGTTCACTTGCATCGCGCCATTCGAGAAAAGTGAATATCTCGTAGTGCTTCACAGAGATGAGACAAAAAAGTTTTCAAGGGCATTGCCAAATATACTGTCAAAAGTGATGTATTTGGGAGGGTTTTGAAGGCAGGAAGAGAAAGGAGCAAGTTGAAGGAATTTTGGGAGAGAGTTCCAGAGAGCAAAGGCTTCAAGGCTGAAGGCATGAGGCAGATCAGAACATTACTTAAAGTACTTACAGTTCATGTGTGCAGTTTGAGGGTCTGTCCATTCGATGTCCCTCTTTCAGGAGTTTGAAGAGCTCTTCCACTGGAATTCCTGGGTAAGGAGAGCCACCGAGGGTGAAAATCTCCCACATCAGAATCCCAAATGACCAACTACAATGGATAGAAAATAAGGCAAATCGCAAAGTCAATCACTCTGCTACCTGACTGCTACAACACAGCACACTCGAGAATTTGTCATCAGAATTGAGGTGGAGAGAATTTACGAACAACCATAGACTGTTTTCATGAAAATGTTTTCTCTTACACAAAATATAGTTAATTGACTTTACAATATACTCTGTGAAGCACTTTGAGACTCTCAACGACGTGTTAAGGCGCTATATCAAATGCAATGATTATTATTAAAATTAGAGAAGCAGCACTGCAGAATTACGGAGTGAAAAATGCAACGTTTCATAATTATCGCATCAAATCTGTTATGAAATGTCACGTTTTCCATCCCTAGTTTCCAGTACTGAACATGTCTGATTGCAGTTTGATCCACATAATAATAATATTGTTAAGATTGCGAAGAAAGAGCGAGAGGAGGAAGGGAAAGTGGGAGGAGAAGAAAGGGAGAGAGGAACAAGGCAATTCAAATGGGATTTCAGATGCAGAGCAAGATCTGCGAAACATGAGGTAGTTTCTCAGATGGATGCAATAGTGAGATGGCTTTTTTTCAAAGGCAGCATGGCTTCATTATAATATTGATAATGGTTCAGACGCCTCACCCTCCTGCTGGAGGACATGTGACAAATGGGTGGTTCAGATCATCTCCCTTCCCAGGCTAGAAGAAGTAACGTGACTGGGTTTGGACTGTTCTATAGCTTCTCTGGAGGAGGTCTGAATGGATGAAGAGTTCTTCAGGAGAATTGGCTTCTCTATATTACACTGAATGCCATTTGCCCAGGCGAGAAGCAGATAGTCCAATGATCAATACTTACACATCACTCTGGTGCGTGTATACTCTGTCAAACAAAGCCTCTGGTGCCATCCACTTCACTGGCAAACGACCCTGGAATGAAATGTAATTATCATCAGTAGTGAGCCACTTGATCATTCCAGACCCTTGAGCACAGACCAGAGATTGTACCTTGGGTTTTCCTGATCTGGATAGCTCAGCTACTGACTCAACAAACTCATTTAACTAGGGGGAATGGGGGGAGGGGGTGAAGGGGAGCAGGTCAGTACTTGTTTGCAGATTATCAGTCTTGCTACTTACATTGGTAGTTTTCTTGTAGTACTCAATGTTATTTACCCCTCTTGCCAGACCAAAGTCTGCGATCTTCATGACGTTGTCTTCCGTCACCAATACATTTCTGGCTGCCAGGTCACGATGGATACACTATAGAATGAATTAAGGTCTTGTTTGATGAGTGCACCCTCATGTCTACAAATTCAAATTAATTTAGAAGTGAAATCAGAAACAAATCACCAATTTTATTTGGGGGATTGTTGGACAGAGGGAGAAATTCCATCTTCTTTTCGAATAGTGTAATGGGATCTTTAACGTCCACCTGAACTGGCAGACCGAACTTTGTTTTAACATCTCATCCGAAGGATGGCACCTCTGACAATGCAACACACTCTCAGCATTGCATTGGAGTGCCAGCTCAGACTATGTGATTTCAAGTTCTGACGTGAGGCTTGAACCTACAACCTTCTGACTCAAAGGTGAGAGTTCCAGCACTGAGGAACAGTCAAGACAGATCCTGTTAGCACAGCATGCTGGTGCTGCAATGCACGGCAAAGCCAGAGCTTGTTAATGTCGGCTCATTTGCAGCCAGATACTAAAACCCTTCAATATAACTGTAACAGCTTTCCTGCAGGAACACGCTACCATTTATTTTATTATCAATAATAAAAATAATCTTTAATTATTATTATCATAATAATAAAGAAGCAGCCAGACAGGAATCCTACTGTAGGATGTCTGGCAAGCCTGGGTAAGTAATCCCAGTCCCACTTCTCCCCCACTCCCACCTATCCTTGTTAAGATATTGTAATATGAGCTTTGTGCCCCTTTGCTGGAGCTAGTGTTGCTTTTGACCATCATCTTACCCCTATGATCTGTGAAAACTGAAACCATTGTGCCCTCCCTCCCCGATGCTCACATTCCCATGACCTTTCACTGATCCCAAGGGGTCAATGTACGTACTAACCACCCCAAGTTTAAATGAGGAATCCACCTGGGCCCCTTGTCCAAACAACTTCCCCACATGGTCTATCCTCCCAGCGTGGTGTGAAGAGCAAGGTCAGATGATAGTGATAATAATAATCCTTGCATTTGAAATAGCGCCTTATTACGTTGTTGAGACGTCTCAAAACGCTTCACAGAATATACTGTAAAGTGCAGTGACTGTGTGTATTTGGTGGGCGAAACTCTGTGTTGATGTACCTTCTTGGATGCCAGGTACTCCATCCCCCGTGCTACCTGGTAAGCGCAGGACACCAGGTCTTTGAACGTTAGTTGCTCCTCGGGCACTTTAGTTATATCAAAGGTGTAATCCATGCCTGGAGGGCGCCGTGCCCGGAGATATTCTCGCAAGTTTCCTTTTGAGGCATATTCCACTATTACGTAGAGCAAACCTGGAGATACACAGCAGATTTATATCATCATAATAATAATCCTTGCGTTTGATATTACGCGTCATCACATCGTTGAGACGTCTCAAAGCACTTTACAGAATATACTGTAAAGTGAATTGACTGTATATTTTGTGGGGTGAAACTAAATATACTCAAAGTTGCTGCATCTGCTCAACAGTCTACAGTAAACAAACAGTATCTTAAACAACCATTATAACCTGTCTGTTACCATTTAGACTTTTAAACTTGACCTTGAGCCTCAGTCACTGCTGAGCACAGGAGAAATGTGACCACAAGGGCACTATTGATCACAGAATACTGTACTCTTTAAACTCGGCTCAAGAGTGATAAGAGAGAGCTGCATCTCGTACTGTGGTGGGATGTGTACTCGTGCGTATTTGTACAATACTGTATATATATATATATATATATATATATACTGGTGTGCAATGCTGTGCGCTGCAATCAGTGAATCTGATTAACCCTGAAACATGTAGTACTGATAGTGTAAATTGCAGCATTTACAGGATATGAGCAATAATGGGTATGTACTCATCCTCACCTACAAGGCCATTCATGGCCATGCTCCCTCCTACCTCTCCGACCTACTATCCCCCTACCTACCTGCCCGTACTCTCCATTCCTCTGGCTCCGGTCTGCTCCACATCCCCCGCCCGAACCATCGGTGGCCGGGCCTTCAGCCTCTCAGCCCCCAGGCTCTGGAACTCTATCCCCCAGTGCCTTCGCCTTGCCTCCTCCCTTTCCTCCTTCAAGGCCGGTCTCAAGACCTTTCTCTTTGACCGTGCCTTCAGCTCCCCTCTCGACTCTCTACCCCCTCCTCGCTCCCTCCCTTCCCTCCCCTCACCCTGACCATTTCTCCCCTGCTCAGGTCCTGACCCAACTGTCCAGCGCCTTGGGACGTCCTCCCAACGTGAAAGGCGCTCTATAAATGGAATCTTGTTGTTGTTGTTGTACTCAGGGGTGCAAGTACAGCATTAAAATATCTGATGCTACAGTATAGCCTTTAGTCTATGTCCATAATATCTCAGTGTATATACTGCAGGCTACTCAGTACAGTGTGTATGTGCAGTATTATATTCTAATGCTGCAGCAGGTAACACTGGGCGCAGTGTGTGAGTTGTTGTCAGTCCTGTGCTGTTAAATGATGGAAAGTTTTTTGCTCCACTGTCCAGAGGGACCCGAGCCTGGGGAGACTCACCATCTTGTGTGCAGGCACCTAGCAGATTAATGATGTTTTTGTGTTTGTCCATCATCTTCATCAACTCCATCTCTGAGATGAGGTCCGCAAGGTCCTTCTCTGTGGCATCATCTTTACATTAGGTGAGAACAATTACATAAGATCAATTTTTTTTTGCTCTAACATGTTAATTTGATCAAGTAAAGGAATTACAGGCAAAAGTCTGGGTTACTGGGATTCATGGATCATTGAGGTTAGGTGACTTGGCTACTCGGTAATTAAGTTACTCAGGCTCTCAGTCAGTTGTATGAAGTGCTGTAAGACTTCCTCCTGTCCTGAAAGGTGTTATATAAATGTAAATTCCTGTAAATTATATAATAATCTTTGCATTTTATGTCAGGTGAACGTCTCAAAGAGCTTGGCATGATTTACTGTAAATTGTAGTGATAAATTGTAGTGACTGTTTTGTGGGCAGTCACTACAACCTGCAAATTGTTACTCTCTCACCTTTCAGTGATTTCACTGCAACAGTAGCTAGTTTGTCAGGGTTGTCCTTGTGAATCCCATAAGCCTCTGCCTTGACCACCTGCCCAAAGCAGCCTTCGCCAAGGGGCTTCCCCAGGACCAGCCTAGAAACGAAAACACAAAAAAGGACCTTAGAACCATCAGAAGTTTACACAAGACATGCTCATATCATTTACTGTTCCCTGAAATAATTATTGCTCAAGGATCACTGTTCCAACCCCTTTAGTTGCATTCATATTAAATCCATATAAGACTTTAGCAAAAGCATAGCTACATTTTTAAAATCTTGGAGATATCAATTAGTATGAGGTAACAACTCAAAGACAGTGTGACTTGTCTGGTTCTTTCTAGATCTGGCTACTTGAGTCAAGATGAGGTTTGGAGTTTGACAGATCATACTTACTTATCACGATCAAATTCCCATTTCGGGTCCTTTGGCAGCTCAAACTCCATGACGCCAGCCAGCATGGGCATGCCGCTGGAAGACAGTCGAGCCACTCTCACGAGGGAGGCATTGGATTTCACTGAAGAGTTTGACTCTCGCGAGAACTAAACCAATATAAAGAAAACACAGCTCATTAGGCTGAGTGCAGATCAGTCCAGTTTATTTCCGTACATTATCGACAAACACATTGAGAAGCTGAGGAATGTTTCCGTTGGGCTGTGTGCAAATATTAAACAATACAACATTCCATTTTCCATAGGAATGCAATAAATTCATGAGCTCTGAGCTCCAGCCTAGGCTGGCACTGCAATGCAATCCTGAGGGAGCCCTGCATTGTCAGCGGTGCCGTCCTTCAGATAACACATTAAACCAAGGTCCTGTCTGCCTGTTTGGATGGACGTTAAAAATCATATGGCACAATTCAAAATTTCAGCCAATTAAAACTGGTCATTCACCTCATGGGTGTTTGTGGGACATTGCTTTGCGCAAATTGGCTGCTGTGTTTGCCTACAAAATACACAATCACTAAACTTCACAATAAAAATCCTGTGAGATGTTTCGACGACATGCTAATGGTTATTATAAATGCATTTTAGGGTTAGAATTTTTACCTGTCTTTTGAAGGGGAACTTGGAGAGCTTCTGCACGGGAAGTGGGTCAAAGGTTCTCTTGGTTGACCTTGTCTGCATCCTACACAGTATCACGATGACCAATAACAAGATGATGGCCAGAGAAGTAGCGGCGTAGATTAAGATGTCAGTGTACTTGGTCCCAGAGTCACTCATTTTCAGAGGTTCTTCTTCTGTAGAATAGGACACAGCACAATTCATAGATTTACATGGAGTGAAACATCATGGCCATTCGGCCCAACCTATCCATACCTCTCCTCTAATTCGCCATTCCCTAATTCCAAAGAGCAGTCAGTACAATTCACATATAATGTGAACATTATCACAAAATACGCAGGCAAACCACTTTACAGTAAATCCTGCGAAGGCACTGTATCAAATACAAGGATTATTATTATTATTATTACATTGTCAGATGAGACATCCTTTGAGATGCTAAACCAAGGTCACATCTGCCTATTATTAGAGGCAGCAATGAGGAGTGACAAACCATTAGTTTCTTGGGAAGTGACTAGCTCAGCATGACATCAGACAGCGACATAGAATATTACAGTACAGAAGGAGGCCATTCGGTCCATCGTGCCTTTGCCGGCTTTTTGGAAGAGTCCCCCCAATCAGCCCCACTCCCCCACTCTTTCCCCATATCCTTGCAAATTTTTCCTTTTCAAGTACCTATCCAATTCCCTTTTGAAAGTTGTTATTGAATCTATTTCCATCACTCTTTCAGGCAGTGCATTCCAGTCTGTAACAACTTTCTGTGTAAATGGTCTTGGGCCCTCTGGTTCTTTTGCCAATTGTCTTGAATCTATTTGCCTTGGTTACTGACTCACCTGCCAGTGGAAACAATTTCTCTATATCTACTCTATCAAAACCCCTCATAATTTTGAACAATGCTATTAAATCTATTAATACCCTACAACAACAACTTGCACATATATAGCGTCCTCTACACAGGGTAGCGTCTCAGTGCGCTTAACAGTGGCGGAGCCTGAATCCAAGCTGCTGGGTGTGGGGGGTGGGAGGTGGCCATAAGCACGGACGAAGGGGAAGGTTTTCAGGCGGGACTTGAAAAGGGGAGAGAGGCGGCAAGCTAGAGGGATTGAGCGAGAGTGTTCCAGAGTTTCGGGGCGTAGTGGCTGAAAGCGCGATCTCCGATGGTGGGGCGGAGGGTACGAGGGATGAGCAGGAGGCTGGTGCCAGTTGAGCGGAGGTGCTGGGTGGTGGACTGGGGAGTGAGGAAGTTGGAGAGGTAGTACCAAAATAATGTTTTTTTCCTGCGAGACTCATTATATACAGGAACAGCCTGTTCTGCCTGTTCATTGGATCTCAGCAGATCATAGAATCTAGAATCATAGAATGATACAGCACAGAAAGAGGCCATTCAGCCCATTGCGTCTGCGTTGGCTCCTAAAAGAACAATCCAACTCAATCCCACTGTCCCGCTTTCTCTCCATAGCCCTGCAATCCTGTCCTCCCCAAATACCCATCTACTTCTCTCTTAAAAGTTGTTATTGAATCGGCTTCCACTACCCTTTCAGGTAATGCATTCCAGTTCCGAACAACTCGTTGGGTGAAAAAAAAAATTCTCACCTCCCCTCTGTTTCTTTTAACAACTATCTTAAATCAGTGTCCTTGGGTTACTGACCCACATGCCAGTGGGACCTGTTTTTCCCGGTTCAACCTATCAAATCCTTTCATGATCTTGAAAACTTCTATTAGATCCTCTCTTAATCTTCACTGCTCTAGGGAGAATAATCCTAGTTTCGCTAACCTCTCCTCATAACTAAGGTCCTTCATTCCTGGTACCATCCTGGTAAACCTCCTTTGCACCCTCTCCAATGCCCCAACATCTTTCCTAAAGTGCGGTGCCCAGAACTGAACGCAGGACTCCAACTGAGGCCTAACCAGCATTTTATAAATATTCAACATAACCTCTAAATATTCAACATAACCTCTTTTAATCCCGTTTGCCATTCTAATCTCAACGCCTTGGGATGTCCTTCTATCGTGAAAGGCTCTGTATAAATGTAATTTGTTGTGGTTATTGTTAATCTCTGACACTCTCACAGGCAAAAATGGGAGTAAGGAACCACTTCTGTAGGATGGATAGCAATAGTGGAACACTGGATTTGCCCATTTTGAGGGCAATCGGTCCTCGTCAAACAATCACATTTGGTATTTCTAGTTGGTGTTCTTAGCTCCTCAACAGACCACCACCCAGATGATTGCACAGCCCTCCATCCGACGGGAGAGGAGCTATATCTGGATCAGTCCATTGCATGTATAGAGGATTTTACCTTGAGGGACAGAGACTATCAGTCAGCTCCACTTCTCCCATGTGCCTTTATGTACACACATATTTATTACACCCAGTAATAAAATAGTTGCCCTCCTGCCTCACCGGATTGTGTTTGAATATAAACAAATACCTGGTATAACTGTCAGCCAAGCTGAATGATAAGAAATCCCGATGGAATTGCCTGCCAAACATGTATACTCTCCGGCATCTTCAAATGTGATATTTCGCAGGTAAAGGACTTCGATTTCCGTGCTGTTAATATCTGCAGTCTATGAAAACACAACACAAAGAGGAGTAACAACAATGTTGTGCAAAGGGTCGCAGCTGTGTAGATTGGGAAGTGCTGGGCTACAATATCTCAAATCGTATTCAATAATAACTAATAATTGAGTTAGTGAAAAAAACAGTGCAATTGATATCTAAATAGTAACCAGTTTTCTTTAAATCAATCATATAAAAGTAAGTTACAATAGGAAGCAATTTGATGTATTGTATTAGTTTGGGTCACGTCAGGACTTTCAATTCATAGTCTAGGCTAAGGTGGTCCAACCTTTTGGCTGCCACAGGCCGGATTCTCTATTTGAGAAAGGGAGCGAGGTGGGGGGGGGGGGAGGAGAGAGAGAGGGGAGAGAGAGAGTGTGGGGGGGGGGGGGGAGAGAGAGAGGGGGTGAAAGAGTGGGGGAGGAGAGAGAGAGGTGAGGGAAGAGAGAGAGAGGTGGGGGGGGGTAGAGAGGGGTAGAGAGAGGGGGTAGAGAGAGAGAAAGGGGGAGAGAGAGATGGGGTGGGGAGAGAGAGAGAGTTGGAGAGAGAGAGAAATGGGGTGGGGAGAGAGAGGGAGGGGGGCGGAAGAGGGGGTGTGAGAGAGTCGGGGTGAAATTTTGGAAGTCAAGTCTGCCTGTTCATGTGAACTTTAAAGATTCCATGGCACTACTGCAAAACAGAAAGGTTTTAAGATATTTTACCAATGAGATAAGACGCTATATGAAATGCAAGAATTATTATCGTGAGAGTATTAGTGCCATTTGAGAACTAGTTGGTCATGAGCTTACCTCCAGTGGATTAATTCTGTATAACTCTACAATGGTTCCAAATTCCTTAAATACAACAGATTGTTTCACGTACTTACCTTCAAAACTTGGACGTAAGGGGTCTCATCTGGTCCATATCTACTACCATTCACCTCCACATGTTTCAACCATTGTATGTGAGGCTGAGCATCACTGAACACTTTGCAATAAAACTCCACGTTGCTACCCAAAACCGCTGTCTTATTAGCAGGAAGCCCAACCTGCAAGATCGGCCGGTGAGGCGACCGCTCTGTGTGCAGAAGAAGTTACCATAAATATAATTTCACAGCCTATTTCATAGACCCTAGGGAATCAAGAAGTGTCACATCCCTTGGAAATCTTCACAGTCAAGAAAGAATTTGTGGAGTCCTGTAGCTCAGTGGTTAGAGCACTCGCTTTGCAAGCGAGAGACCTGAGTTTAATTCCAGGCAGAGGGCGAACCCTTGGGCAAGTTTCCTTACTCCAGAGCCTAATAATAATCCCTCCAAAACCAAAAACAATAATAAAATTGGTCATTTTCAATATACGATTGTTTGTGGGACATTGCTGTGCGCAATTGGCTGCCGTGTTCGCCCACAAATATACAGTCAATTCACTTTACAGTGTTTTCTCTGAAGCGCTTTGGGACGTCCTCCCGACGTGAAAAGCGCTATATCAAATGCAAGGATTATTATTATTATTATTAAATTATGAGCTTCGGGTCTTTGATCCGTTTTTTCTAATCATTGATTCTCTCTTCTGCCATTTTCAGGCAATGACAACAGGAAATACATGGTCCATGGGAACACTGCTTCCTGTCTAGTTTACTTGTATTTCCTATTGTAAGAGAATCTGGCTCACTCCTTCCATTCTTCAAATAATTTCCCCACAGAAATTGTCAGTGGTTAGTCCCAAATTCTCAATGGCCGGCAGATAAACAAACATGTGGAGGTGCACAATGGCTGGTAATGGCCTTCATTACAGCAGTAAACAGTAGCCTGGCCTTTGATGTTGCTTATGAAGACTTACTGTATGCCAAGAGGTGGCCAAACCCTGTGCTGAGTGCAACTGGCACCTCACGAGCATTGCAGGTCAACTAGAAACATCATATCGGCTCCGGTCCAATGCCAACTGAGTCCAGGTCCAACCAAAATGCCTGGCTTCCTGAGAAAGGCCTGGCATTTCACATCATTTGTGGACTTTGGGTTTGAAGCTGATCAGCATGTAGAATCCAGATTTATATTCCAAGAGCAAACATTTGTCATTAACAGATGCATAACAGTTTTTAAACTATAATTACCTGACTGCAATTTGAAGATTATTTTTCAAGCAATTACAGTTATGAGGCTGTAGTGGGGGCAATGGAATCCCAACCAGACTGAAAATTAGGCATGATCAATGGCGGTCCCATCATGGCATCACCAAGCACGTAACACGTGACTTCACTGAGCATGTGCACAGAAAGCCGATGGCTCAATCATGCTTATAATTGTACCATCATGTTTCAAAACCCCTTGGTGCACTGACTAGTTTTGAAGCGTGACTAGCATCTCAAATATGATTTGATCTGCATGATGGGATGGGAGTGTGGGTTAATGTTGGCCAGCCTCAACATAGCGAAAGATTTGGGTGCTGCGATTTTTTAAGTTTTAAGAAAGAAAGTAGCAGGGTTCACAACCCAATAATGAAGAGTGTTATAATAGGGTTCTACTGTATATTCCTTCAGTTTCAGAGACCGAATCTTTAATCTGAATCTGAATGAACTGATTGAAATGGAGGGCCCATAATATTATTAAGTGTTTGTAGATACTTTGTTCACAAAATATAATTATAATAATAATAATCCTTGCATTTGATATAGCGCTTTTCACGTCAGGAGGACGTCCCAAAGCGCTTCACAGAACACACTGTAAAGTGAATTGACTGTATATTTGTGGGCGAACGCGGCAGCCAATTGCGCACAGCAATGTCCCACAAACAGTCGTAGATTGAAAATGACCAATTTAATTATTGTTTTTGGTTTTTTGGAGGGATTATTATTAGGCGTGTGGAGTAAGGAAACTTGCCCAAGGTTTCGCCCTCTGCCTGGAATTGAACTCCGGTCTCTCACTTGCAAAGCGAGTGCTCTAACCACTGAGCTACAGGACTCCACAATATAGTCAATTCTCTTTACAGTATATTCAGTAAAGAGCTTTGAGATGTCTCAACGACACAATAAGGCGTTATATCAAATGCAAGGATTATTATTATTATAACATATAACAGTTATACCTTCCATAACAATGATGACCACTGTAACCTAATTATCATAAATTTCAGCAGCCAGGCACGAAGTTCACTGAATATCATTTGAACCTAATCTAAAGCAATCCTCCATTTCTGCAGCTGACTGTGTCCATGTCACTTACCCAATACCTCTAGTTGGTAACTGTGGTTGATGCTGCCATATTTGTTCTCGACCACACAAGTATAGTTCCCGCGATCAGACGGTACCACGCTTTCCATCACTAGACTCCAATGCTGATGGCGCAGCTGCAAAGGAATGAAAAAATAGGATTGACAAACCAGAGGAGATTAAAGCTTCTCAAGTCAATGTCAGTACAGCACTGACAATTCTTTCAGACCAGCGTTGATGCAGAACACTGTGTTGTACCAGGCCAGTGTTAACTCACACTCCCTTCCAATGTGGGACACCAGTAGTTCACCATTAGGGAAGGTGCCACAACAACAAATTGCATTTATATAGCACCTTTCACATTGGGATGATGTCCGAAGCCTCTGGTCTATGAAGGGTTTGCACCCAGGCAAATGACTGAAGGCATGGTCGAAGAAGAAGGTCTTCAGACAGACCTTGAAGGAGGCAAGGAGGGGCCAAGGCGACAGGGTTTACGTCAAGATTTTCAACACTGTCTGTTCACTTCAGGGGCCAGAGTTTCAATCAGTCAATCGATAAAAATGAAAATCTGCTTTCTAGGTTGGCTATAAAGAGACAAATTGAGCAAAGCTGAATCAGTGTCTATCCATTTTCCATGCGTTTGAGAGTCTACCTGATAAAATGCCTCTTATTGCACAGATCTCCAGGGGACTCCCTCAGAAGCCACAAGACTGGCTAATGTGTAACATCAAGATGCCAGGCTGGTGCAGCAGAGGATTTTCTTCTGAGGTTCGGATTAAGGTAGACTAATGGAGCAGATAGAGCATAATTCACTGGGCTCTAATCTGTGGAGTTTTGTTGGGAACTGTGAATGGAGCTTTGTCCTGCATCTAATCTGGCTTAATACTAACACTGAGTGCCAATCGTTGCAAAATAGAAACTTGTAAATTAATCTTTTTATTTAGAAAGTTTCCAGATTTTGTCCTTATAATAATTCTTGCATTTGATATAGTGCCTTATCATGTCGTTGAGACGTCTCAATGAGCTTCACTGAATATACTGTAAAATAAATTGACTGCGTATTTTGTGAGCGAAACGTGACAGCCAATTGCACACAGCAGTGTCCCACAAACAGTCATGGATTGAATAACCCATAAAAACTTTTTTTTGTTCTCCAAGGGATTATTACCCTGCCAATCGACTAACAAACAGGTTCCTACTTACTGCTAGGGAAACAGAGGCATGTGGAGTAAGGAAACTTGCCTAAGATTTTGCCTCTTAATAATAATAATAATCCCTCTTGCTTGTAAGGTGAATGCGCTCACCAATAGGCTACAGGACTCTCACAGATGTTCCCACTTTCCAATTCGTGAAACTCTTTCCTTGGATTCACGCTGATATTTTGTAGGATCCGAATTGCCATCCGAGGATTTCAAATGCAGAAACCCCTCAGTGTCAGCGCTCGGGGCTGTGCCGCTTGTGTGAAACCTGACGTGAACTGGTTTTTGCTGCGGTCGATTTATGTACCTTAATGCCTCCGATCCGCTGCTCCCCCCGAAACTCTCTGCCGTTCTTCAGCCAACGAATGGTGGGGACTGGGGTCCCGGCCGCCGGGCAGCGGAACTTCACTGTGTTTGCAGCCGGAACAACATGAAGACGCTTTTCCATCCGATCAATGTGTGTCCAGTGAGGAGCTCCTGTGTATGTGGGCGGGGGGGGGGGAGAGGGTGGATGAAGAGAGAAACCCAGTTGGTAATGAGTAATCAGTTGGACAATAAACAATAAAGTCCTCTTATGTCAACCAGAACCATGCGATGGATTTAAATCTAAACCCCGTGGAACCCATTATCCTTTTAAAAACAAGCCACGGACAGATTCCAAATTCAGAAAAATATTTGTATCACAACATATTTAATCATAATTCTGAAGCTCCAGCTCCATCACAATGAGGGCAAAGCTTTATTCAGGTCAAAATATATTTGTATTATATTTGGTGTCAGTACGTAACACTGTAGGTTTGTGGTGTGTGTGTATGTGATGTGTATGTTCACACTGGAAAAGAGAAGATTGAGAGGTGACATGATTGCTGTCTTTAAGATTCTGAAGGGGCTAAACAATATAGATCATTACAGCCTGCTTCAACTTGTCCAGAATAGTAAAACCAGAGGACACATGGCCTGCGATTGAAGGGAGTAAATTCAGGCTCCCTAGGGAGATGGTTGAAGCAGGAAGTGTTGATTCTTTCAAACACAGATTAGAAAGTTTTCTTTTAGAAAATAACATTATGCAATATAACATATAGGCGGTTTGGGACAGTGCATATGAGCGCCAGGAAGGTGGAAGGCGAACTAGATGGACCTTGGTCTTTTTTCGTCTAGCATTTCTTATGTTCTTATGTGTGTGTGTGTGCAGTATCTGTATGTGTATGTGGTATCTATGCGTGTGATGTGTGTGTGTGGTGTGCGGTATGCAGCACTGAACGCCAACTGCAGCACAAACCCAAATTGTCCATTGACTTCCTGTCAATGATCTCTGCATTCATAGAGCCTGCACTGTTCAACAGAAGGAAGGGATGAAGGGAATTTGCTACACGCATACTGAATAGTCATACTGGGCCAATTGTAACCTAAATCGAGATAGGTAGCAGGGGAGGTAGGGAGAGAGGTTCTGTACAAGCAAAGACCAATGGTATCAGACCAAACACAACAGATTTCAAAACTCTTCCCAAAAGGGTTTGCATTCCTTCACATTCCTGTCTAATCAGCTCTACAGTAATTAATCTAATTATTTGGACTGGTAGCTCCTGCTGTGAGTTAGCAGCAGAATGGATCCTCGCAACTGCAACAATTAGTCCCCAAGACCAGCCGTCGCCCAACAATATACAGTGCGGCTTAATTAGGCAGCTTGTTGCTTGGCTGTGCCGATTCGGACACAAGCTCCCTCGTGTGTGAGTCACATCAGAGGCATTGGCCCAGTCAGGAGCCGTGTTTCAAACATCGTTATCAAAGAATTTTTACACTCTGTCTCAATAATGGTTCATGGTCACGTACCATGTGACCATGACCATATCTTTTCAGTGTTAGACAAAGGGTGCTTTCTCACTGCACAGCTCTGTTCTTTGTTGACTTCTAAGATTCTCTCTGCCCCATTACATGTGTTTTTATTGTAAATAATAAATCCATAGAGGCATACTGCAAGCAAGGCAGTTATTCATCGGATATCTCAGATATTCATAGAACACAGAAAGCACACAGGATTCACTCTTGTCATCTATATTATCCAAATCTGTTCTATTTCTGCTGCCTTACATTACACCCCAAGGTGTTACTTGTTACATTCTGATAATAAACTCCTAGGTGTACACCTACATTATATTGTAACTGATTTGTCACACAAGGCTAAGTAGCTGCAAGTTTGCACTGGAAGGCAGGAAATTAAGTGTCTAGTTAGGATTTAGTCATCAGCACATATATAGACCACACACATGCACATACAGACATACATAAACATGAGTATACATACAGACATATACAACAACAACAACAAAATTACATTTATATAGCACCTTTCACGTCGGGAGGACATCCCAAAGCGCTGAACAGACAGAGTTACAGAGACAGACACACACACACATAATTAGACACATGCACAACCCCTACCCCGTATGTACAGATACATACATACAGAACCCCCCACCCCCACTCCAACACACATATACACAGTCACGAACCTCCCCTCTCTCCCCCCCACAACACACATACATAAACACAAACTTGAGCAAATACCTGGTATAACTGTCAGCCAAGCTGAATGATAAGAAATCCCGATATAATTGCCAGCCAAGCACGTATACTCCCCGGCATCGTCAAACGTGACATTTCGCAGGTAAAGGACTTCGATTTCGGTGCTGTTAATATCTGCAGTCTATGAAAAAAAACAACACAAAGAGATACAAGTACAATGTTGTGCAAATGTGTGTAAATTGGTGAGTGCAGGGTTACAATATCTGAAATTATGTACAATAATAGCTAATAATTGAGTTTAGAAAAAAATAATAATACAATTGATGTCTGAATAGCAATCAGTTTTCATATAGAACTATAAAACCATAGACATCTGTCACATTAGGATGCAATTTGACCCACTGTATTAGTTTGGGACATATCACGACTTTGAACTCATAGTCTAGGCTGATACTCCATTGCAGTGCATTGTCATCCTTTGGATGAGACACTAAGCTAATGTCCTATCTGCCTGTTCATGTGGACTTTAAAGATCCCCTGGCAATATTCCAAAAGAAGGGAGTTTCTCATTTGTGTCCTGGCCAACAATATACCAGATAAAATTGACCATTCACTTCACAGCTGTTTGTGGAACATTGCTGTGCGCAAATTGGTTAGAATCATAGAATCGTAGAATTATACAGCACAGAAGGAGGCCATTCAGCTCATCATGTCTGTGCCGGCTCTTTAAAAAGAGCTACTCAAATCAATCCCACTCCCCCGCTCTCTCCCCACAGCCCTGCAAACTTCGCTCTTAAAAGCTGTTATCGAATCTGCTTCCACCACCCTTTCAGGCAATGCATTCCAGATCTGAACAACTCGCTGTGTGAAAGATTTCTCCTCATCTCCAGTGTTTTATAAAGGTTCATCATAACTTGCTGACTTTTGCATCCTTTGCCGCCATTTATAAAGCCTCGTATCCCGTTTGCTTTTTTAACGGCTTTATCTACCTGTCCTGCCACCTTCAAAGATTTACTTATATGAATCCCCAGGTCTCTCTTTAAGATTGTACCATCAGCTTACATGGCCTCTCCTCATTCTTCCTCCCAAAATGCATCACTTCGCATTTCTCCACATTAAGCTTCATCTGCCACGTGTCGGCCCATGTTACCAGTCTGTCTATGTCCATTTGCATCTGCTACTATCCTCACCGTTTGCTACTTTTCCTAGCTTAGTATCATCTGCAAACTTGGAGATTGTACTCCCTGTACCTAAGTCCAGGTCATTTATATAGATCAAAAACAGTAGTGATCCCAATACGGATCCCTGGGGGACACCACTGCACACTTCCCTCTGGCCAGAAAAACAACCGCTCACCACCAGTCTCTGCTTTCTGTCTCCCAATCAGTTCTGTATCCTTGCTGCTACTGTCCTTTTAATACCATGAGCTTCTATTTTGCTTACAAGTCTCTTATATCAAATGCAAGGATTATTATTATTATTATATGGCACTTTATCAAATGCCTTTTGAAAATCCATATAAACTACATCAACTGCACTACCTTCATCCACTCTCTCCGTTACTTCGTCAAAAAACTCTTTTGGTTTGTTAGACACGATTTGCCTTGAACTAATCTGTGTTGGCTGTCCTTTATTAACCTATATTTTTCTAAGTGAAAATTTATTTTGTCCCAGATTATAGTCTCTAGAAGTTTCACCATTACTGATGTTGGGCTGACTGGCCTGTAGTTCCCGGGTTTATCCTTCTGCCCCTTTTTGTACATTTGAAACCCTCCAATCCTCTGGCACCACCCCGGTGTCCAAGGAGGATTGAAAGATTGTGGCCAAAGCCTCTGTTATTTCCACCCTTACTTCCCTCAGTAACCTAGGATGCATCCCATCAAGACTGGGTGACTTTCTATCTTGAGCACCGACAACCTTTTTAGTATCTCCACTCGGTTTATTCTTATCTTATCCAATTTCTCTACCTTCTCCTCCAATACTGTGGCAATGGTTACATCCTCTTCTTTTGTGAAGACAGATGCAAAGTTCTCATTCAGTACGTCAGCCATACCCTCTAACTCCACAAGAAGATTTCCTCTTTGGTCCCTAATTGGACCCACCCTACCTTTGTCTAATCTTTTATTCTTTATATGCTTATAAAATATCTTAGGATTCCCTTTTATGTTACCTGCTAACTTTTTGCTACAATTTCTTTGCCCCTCTTCTTACCTTTTCCAGTTCTCTTCTGTACTTTTTATATTCTATCTGATTATCTTTTGTATTTTGAACCTGACATTTATCATAAGCCTCCTTTTCTGTTTTATTTTAATCCCAATTTCCTTACTCATTCAGGCAGGTTTGGATGCCCTACCTTTCCCCTTTGTGGGAATGTATTTGTTCTGTCTCTGAACTATCTCCTCCTTGAAGGCTTCCCATTGCTTGTTAACTATTTTAATTGCCAATCTTTCTTTCCAATCCACATTGGCTAGGTCCCTTTTTAACTCTGAAATTAGCCCTCTTTCAGTTGAGTATCTTCACCTTTGATTGCTCCTTGTCCCTTTCCATAAGTATACTAAACCTAATGAAGTTTCTGTTCAAGGTTGCCTGGGTTTGCTTACAAAATACACACTTGCCACATATTACATTAAATCATGTGATACCCTTTGAGATGTTTCAATGATGGGATAAGATGTTATATGAAATGCAAGGATTATTATCATAATTAGCATATTATTATCATTTGAGAACGAGTTTGCCATGAATTTAGCTCCAGTGGATTAATTTATTTATAACTCTTAAACAAATAATATATTGTTTCACCTTCAAGATCTGGACGTAGGGTGTCTCATCTGGTCCATATCTACTACCATTCACCTCCACATGTTTCAGCCATTCGATATGAGGCTGGGCATCGCTGAGCACTTTGCAGTAAAACTCCACATTGCTACCCACCACCACTGTCTTATTAGCAGGAAGCCCAACCTGCAAGATCGGCCGGTGAGCTGACTGTTCTGTGGGCATAAGTTACCATAAATATAATTTCACAGCCTATTTCATAGGGGATCAAGGAGCATCACACCCCTTGGAAATCACAACAGTCCCTCCCAAGACATGTACATGGATAGACCCAATCTGTGTCCCCCACACATACAAATATCAACAACTACCTTGCAGAACTGTCAGCCAAGCCGAATGATACGAAATCCCGATGGAATTGCCTGCCAAACACGTATACTCCCCGGCATCCTCAAACGTGACATTTCGCAGGTAAAGGACTTCGATTTTGTTGCTGATAATGTTTGCAGTCTATGAACACACAACACAAAGAGACGTAAAAGCAATGTTTTGGAAAGGGTCACACCTGTGTAGATTGGGGAGTGCAAGGTTAGAATATCTCAAATTATAACCAATAATAGTGAATAATTGAATTTAATAACTGTACAATTAATGTCTAAATAGTAGCCAGTTATTGGAAAGAACTATAAAAGCATTGACATCTATATCACAATAGGGAACCATTTGACCCATTGAACTAGTTTGAGTCATGTCAGTACTTACTTCCTGACATGACTCTGCTTCCTCTTCCTCCTTGACCTCTCTGCTGCCTTCGACACACTTGAACACTCTATCCTCATCCACCGCCTCTCCGCTCACCTCAACCTTCACGGCTCTGTCCTTGACTAGTTCAGATTTTACCTCTCACACCGCCTCCACTTCATATCCACAAACGGTTTCTCCTCTAGCTCCCGCATTGTTTCGTGCGACATTCCTCAGGGCTCTATCCTTGGTCCCCTCCTCTTCAATATCTATATGCTCCGTCTTGGTAATATCATCCGCAGACATGGGGTCAATTTCCACATGAATGCAGATGACACCCAATTGTACCTCTCTTCCTCCACCCTTGACTCCGGGACCACTGCTGTCCTGACAGAATGTCTGTCAGACATCAAATCCTGGGTGAGAGCTAATTTTCTTTAGTTCAACATCAACAAGACTGAAACGTTCTTGATTGGCTCCCATCAGCGCAACCATGGGTGCACACTCCACTTACTGAGCCAGTCCGGAACCTTGGCATCTCTTTTAACCCTCACATCTATGCCATGACCTGCTCTGTCTTCCCCCACCTCTGCAACATTGACTGGCTCCACCACTGTCTCACTTCGCAGGCCGCTGAGACCCTCAGACACGCTTTCATTACATCGAGGTTTGACTATGCAAACTCCTTGCTTGTCAGCCTCCCCAACTCCTCCCTCCATAGGCTGTAGATCATCCAGAACTCTGCAGCCAGTGTCCTCTCCCACACCAGTCTCCATGACCCTCTCACCCCCTTCCTCGCTCAACTTCCCATCACACAGAGGATACAGTTCAAGATCCAGGTCCTCACCTTCCAATTTTCTGCTTTCTCCCCGTATCCCTTAATATCCTGACCTACCAACAATCTATCAACCTCACTCTTGAAGGTGTGGATGGATCCAGTATCCACGTCTTTTTTGGGGAGAGAATTCCAGATTTCTACTACCATTTGAGTGAAAAAATGCTTCCTGATTTCACTCTTAAATGGCCTGGTTCTAATTTTAAGACTATGCCCCTTGTTTTCAATTCCCCGACCAGAGGAAATAGCTTTCCATGACCCTATCAGCCCCATCTTCGTCTGACTCCACTGGCTTCCCATCACACAGAGGATACAGTTCAAGATTTTGGTCCTCACCTTCAAAGCCCTCCATGGTCTTGCTCCCCCCTACCTCTGTGACCTCCTCACGTCCTACCATCCTGCCCACTCCCTCCATTCAGTGGATTCTGACCTGCTTTATGTCCCCCATCTCGCCCGACCCACCACTGGCAGGCGGGTCTTCTGCTACTCTGCCCCCATCCTCTGGAACTCCATCCTGCAGTCCCTCTGCCTCGCCCCCCCCTCCCTTGCCACCTTCAAGACCCATCTCAAGACCCTCCTCTTTGACCATACTTTCAATCACCCTACTTTCCCCCCTGCCCTCCACGATCCCAACACCCAGCTTGGGTCCGAAACACTGACTGTCCAGCACCTTGGGACATCCTCCTGACATGAAAGGCTCTATGTAAATGTAATTTTGTTGTGCTGTTGTACTTACCTTCAAGACCTTGACGTAGGGGCTCTCATCTGGTCCATATCTACTTCCATTCACTTCCACGTGTTTCAGCCACTGGATGTGAGGCTGAGCGTCGCTGAGCGCTTTGCAGTAAAACTCCACATTGCTACCCACCACCGCTGTCTTATTGGCAGGAAGCCCGAACTGCAAGATCGGCCGGTGAGGTGTCTGCTCTATGGGTAGAAGAAGCGTCACAACCCTTGGAAATCTTAACAGTCATGAAAGAAGTTATTTTCTAACTTCTGATTAAACATACAGGTAATTCACTTTTCAGTATATTCTGTGAAGTGCTTTGAGACATTTCAAAGACTTGATAAAACACTATATCAAATGCAAGGATTATTATTATTATTCTCTCCCCTGCCATCTTCAGGCAACCAAAACAGGAAGTATATGGTCCATGGGAACACTGTTTCCTATCTACAGTTTATTTGTATTTCCTATCGTATAAGAATCTGGCTCACTCCTTCCATTCTTCAAATAATTTCCCCACAGAAATTGTCAGTGGTTAGTCCCAATTCCCAATCGCCGGCAGATAAACAAGCATTGCCGTGTGGAGGCACAGAATGACTGGTAATGGCTTTCATTATAGCAGTGAACAGTAGCCTGGCCTTGATGTTGCTTATGAAGACTTGCTGCATGCCAAGAGGTGGCCAAACCCTGTGCTGAGTGCAACTGGCACCTCACTAGCATTGCAGGTCCTGTAGCTCAGTGGTTCACTTGCCTCGCAAGCGAGAAACCTGGGTTCGATTCCCAGGAGGGTAAAACCTTGGGTAGTTTTCTTACTCCACACGCCTGATAATAATCCCTCAAGAAAAAAACCCAATAAAATGGTTACTTCAATCCATGACTATTTGTGGGACACTGCTGTGCACAATTGGCTGCCTCGTTTTGCCCACAATAATCAAAAACACTTTACAGTATACCCTGTGAAGCGCTTTGAGATGTCTAGAAGACGTGAAAAGCACTATATCAAATGCAAGGATTATTATTATTTTAGGTCAACTAGAAACATCATATTGGCTCCAACGTCAACTGAGTCCAGATCCAACCAAAACACTGAGAAAGGCCTGGCATTTCACATCATTTATGGCCTTTTACTTTGTGCTTGAGGCTTATCAGCAATTGGAATCTGGATTTATATTCCAAGAGCAAATATCTTTCTTTATCAGATTCATAACAATTTGGCAACAGACTGGATCCTTGCAACTGTAACAATTAGTCCCAAGATCAGCTATCACCCAATATTACAGTGCTTAATTAGCCCACTCACTGCTCGGCTGTGCCGATTCACCCACACACAAGCGCCTTCGGGTGAGAGACACACCAGAGGCATTGGCACAGTCAGGGGCACTGCCTTTAAAGTGTCGTTGCCAAATAATTTTTGCACTTTGTTTGGAGTGGCATCTAGTCAACTTTTCAGTCTCAGGCAAAGGGTGCATTAGCCTATCATTCTGTTTTCTCATTGCATAGCTATGTTCTTCCCTGACTTCCAAGATCTTCTCTTTCCTATTACATGTTTTTGTATTGTGAATAATAAATCCATAGAGCCAGACTGCAAGGCATTGACACATCTCAGACATTCATAGAACACAGAAACCACAAACAAGCTTCATTCTTGTCATCTATATTATCCAAATCTGTTCTATCAATTTCTTCTTGTTACTTTCTTATAATAAACTCCTCGGCATGCACCTACGTTGTAACTGATTTGTCACACAAGGCTAAGTAGCTACATGTTTTAAGGGTGTTTCTTGTACTGAGTTTGGATTTAGTCACCAGCTGGGCCAATAGAAAAGTGCGTCCTTTGCGGAATCCGCTACAAATCCTCTATAAATGTAGTTTCTGGCCTGTGGGGCCTCCCGGCTGTTTACCTGATGTCACTATAGGCGGAGCAGCTCTGGAAGCACATGCGCAGTGGGGCACAAGCGGCAAATCTGATTCATTCGGAGGCCCCGCTGTTGTGATTGTGTACGTGTTTGTGCGTGTGTCTCTCCATGTGTTTGTGAGTGTCTGCATGTGTATTCCTGTGTGTGTGTCTCTCTCTCTACTTGTGAGTGTCTGTTTGGCTCTCGTCAACGTCTTAAATCGCATGGTTCTCACCTCCTCCACCTACCCGACGTCCCCTTAAAACTCTCCAAACCCGTACGCAACCTAGGCGTCAGGTTTGACCCCAAATTATCCTCCTTCCCCCACATCCGGTCCCTCAACAGCACCGCCTTCTTCCACCTCTGACGCATCGTCCGTCTCCGCCAATACCTCACCCCAAAAGCCGCCGAAACCCTGGTCCATGTCTTTGTCACCTCTCAGCTGGACTATTCAAATGCCCTCCTCGCCGGCCTCCCCTCCACTACCATTCATGTGTTACATTTATTTGCTTCATGTCTTACAGTTCTGAATTGTATGTTTACATATTTTCAAAGCAACTTTACTAAAAAAAACTTTGTTAAATAAACTAATGTTTAATGGTCATTCTCTACTAATGTTGTCCATCTTACATCTGAGACTAACCTCATTTTTTTTTACTGCTGGAATCTTCTGGTTAAGTTAACTGTTAAAGTAGAGTATTCTAACCACTGAGCTACACTGAGCTTAACTGGAGTCCTGTAGCTCAATGGTTAGAACACTCGCCTTGCAAGCGAGACACCTGGGTTCAATTCGAGGCAGGGCGAAACCTTGGGCAAGTTTCCTTACTCCACACGTCTAACACTAACTCCAAAACAAAACAATAATAAATTGGTCAATCTCAATCCACGACTGTTTGTGAGACACTGCTGTGCGCAATTGGCTGCCATGTTTCACCCACAAATATACGGTCAATTCACTTTACAGTATATTCTGTGAAGCACTTTGAGACATCTAGAAGACGTGAAAAGTGCTATATCAAATGCAAGGATTATTATTATTATTATTCATAAAATCCAGGTCATCCAGAACTCTGCCGCTCGCATTCTTACCCGTACCAAACTCTGTTCCCCGATTACCCCAGTCCTTGCCAGACTGCATGGTTGTCTCTTCCAGAGATGATCGACTTCAAGATCCTCACTCTTGTCTTCAAATCCCTCCACTCCTCTGCACCCCCCGACCTCTCTGACCTCCTCTCTCCTCACAACAATGCCCGTTGCCTTCACTCCACCGGGTCTGGCCTCTTCCTTGTCCTCCTCCGCTCCACCCTCGGCGGCCGTGCCTTCAGCCACTACGCCCCGAGGCTCTGGAACTCCCTTCCTGACTCCCTTCGCCTCGCCCCCTCTCTTCCTATTTTCAGGTCTCGGCTGAAGACCTTTCTTTTCGACCGCACCTTTGGTCACCTTCTTCCCCTCCCCCTGGCTCGGCCCCGGGATCCGTTACTATGAAGATCTCTGAGACGCTGTCCAGCGTGGAGGGCGCTATATAAATCCAAGTTGGTGTTGCTATTGTCTTCATGTGTCTCTCTGTCTGTGTGTGTCTCTCTCTCTGTTTGTAAGTGTCTGTGTGGGTCTCTCTGTCTGTGTGCGCGTCTCTGTTTCTGAGCATCTGCGTCTCCCTCTCCTTTGTGTGTTTGTGGGTGTGAGTCTGTCTATGTATTTGTGAATGTGAGTGTGTGCCCCTCTCTGAGAATGTGGTCTCTCTGTGTCTGTGTATGTTTGTGTCTCTCTCTCTGGGTCTGTGTGTAGTGCTGGACCCTGAGAGCTCCTGTAGCCTCACTCCTTGTACCCCCTACCCAAAAAAGGCCACCCAGTTTTTGTTAAAGAAGCAGTTAAGGTTTTTTTTGCAATAATCTATTATGTGTTATTTCTTCATTTTTAGTCAATAAAGTGACCAAATGTAGGTTGGCAGTAAAATGTACCTCAATAGCACCAATCAACTCCCCGCCATTTTCTGCAAAATTTAGGCAATTATTTCCCCGTAATTTTTTTATAGATTCATAGATTCATAGAATGTTACGGCACAGAAGGAGGCCATTCGGCCCATCGAGTCTGTGCCGGCTCTCTCCAGCCTGTCCTCATAGCTAAGGTTCCCCATTCCTAGTATCATTCTCGTGAATCTCCTCTGCACCCTTTCCAGTGCCTTAATGTCCTTCCTGAATTATTTGGGGCAAATATTTATTTTCTATTGGCCCAGGTCATCACCACACATATAGACACATATCCATATACAGACCCATACATATGGCCAGATAGACGGATGCATGCATGCAGACACACACTAACTGAAAGCTCTACTGAGCTTCATTATTTTAACTCAAACACAATGAAGAACTTATTACTATCCCATCTAAACCGCCCAACTCAGCACAAACTCAGGATCAATTTAATAACTGACCATTGATGCCTTAATGCAAATTTCATGCAAGAAGAAACTCCATTAAACCACGTAACATCTAATAAGTAGCAATTAAATATTGAATTATTCTAACATTTAGCACAAACAGATGGGGAGCCAGTGGAGTCGGGCGAGGGTGGGAGTGATGGGGTCACGGAGCCTGGTGCATGAGAGTACACGAGCTGCAGAGTTTTGGATGATCTGCAGCTTGTGAAGGGAAGAGTTGGGAAGGCCGATGAGGAGGGAGTTCCTGTAATCGAGCCTTGATGTGACGAATGCATGGGTGAGGTTTCGGCGGAGGGGTGAGGCAGTGGCGGAGTCTGGCAATGTTGCAGAGGTGATGGTAGGCAGTGCCGGTCATGGCGCGGATGCGAGGGATATATAAACTATAACCAAAGGCACATTTCGCAGTACAATACTCTCTCTAACATACTCTCTACACAACACAAAACTCTCCACAACACACTCTGTCCCATATATGAAGTACTCTCATTTCTCAGGTGACAATAGACTTTGAGCTATCACTCAGGAAAGGGAGAAACAAAAGAACACCACCAACAAAATAACATTTGTAAAGCGCCTTTCATGTTGGGAGGACGTCCCAAGGCACTGAACAGTCAGGGATCAGGACCCGAGCATTGGGGGGCAGGGTTGGTGTGAGGGAGAGCAGAGAAGTAGCAGGGCAGCTAAAGGCACCGTTGAAAAAGAGGGTCATGAGTTGCACTTTGAAGGATGCAAGGGAGGCAGCAAGGCAAAGGGACTGTGGGATGGAGTTCCAGAGGGTGGGGACAGAGAGGCTGATGCCAGCCGCCGATGGTAGGGCAGCTTGGGCGGGAAACATGGAGCAGCCCAGAGTCTGCTGAGCGGAGGGAGCGAACAGGTTGATAGAGGGTCAGCAGGTCAGAGATGTGGGAGAGGGCAAGTCCATGGAGGGCCTTGAAAGTGAGGATGAAGATTTTGAATTCTATTCTCTGAGGGATGGGGAGCCAGTGGAGCCGGGCGAGTGTGGGGGTGATGGGGTCACGGAGCCTGGTGTGGGAGAGGACACAAGCTGCAACTTGTGGAGGGAAGATTTGGGGAAGCCGACAAGGAGGGAGATTCCGTAGTCGAGCCTCGAGGTAACAAATGTGTGTATGAGGGTTTTAGCGGCCTGAGCGGTGAGGCAGTGGCAGAGTCGGGCAATGTTGTGGAGGTGGGGGAAGGCAGAGTGGGTCACGGCACAGATATAGGGGACACAGGACAGTTGAGGATTGAACAAGACACCCAGGTTCCTGACTGGCTTGGTGAGGTGGAGTGTGCATCCATGGATACTGATGCTACCAGTGCCTGAGGTGTGGAGGCACTGGCATGAGCCAATCAAGAGGGCCTCAGTCCTGCTGACATTCAGCTGTAGAAAGTTGGCTCTCATTCATGTCTGACAGACATCCTGTTAGGATATCAGTTGTCCTGGAATCGAGGCTGGAGGCAGAGAGATAGAGTTGGGTGTCATCCGCATACATGTGAAAGTTGACCCCATGTCTCCGGATGATGTCACCAAGGGTGAGCATGTAGAGGTTGAAGAGGAGGGCATCAAGGACAGAGCTCTAGGAATACTGCACGAGACTGTGCGGGGGCTAGAAGAGAAACCATGGGCGGAGACAAATTGGAGACGGTGTGAGAGATAAGACCTGAATCATTCAAGGACAGAACCTTGAGGGTTGAGGTGAGAGGAGAGGCGGTGGAGGAGGGTATCGAAGGCAGCAGAGAGGTCGAGGAGGACAAGAGAGCCCTGGTCACAGATAGAGTGAATGTCGTTTGTGACCTTGATCAGAGCAGTTACCGTTCTGTGAGCAGCACAAAAACCAACCGATTGGAGGGGCTCTTGAAGGGTTTGCTCAGTCAGGAGCGGGTCATGGACAGATTGTGTTTATACAGATTCTTGCCAACTTACACTATCATAAACAGTCTCTCTCCCAAATGTACAGTTATCGGGACAGTGCAAGTTAAGTGTCAGAATACCAAATTGGATCTGCGTCAAATCCCCAGGAGATGAGTTAAATGTAGAACACTGACCTTTGTGGGGGTTTGTTCGGCTATTGTTCGACTCGGGTTCTGAATTCTCAGAGATACCATCTTCGTCATCATCACCTGAAGACAATGAGTCTGAAAATAATCAATGTAACAAAGCTGAGCTTCAAAAGCATCAGACCTCAGGTCTCAGTCTTACTGAAACACACTGTTTCCGATGCTTACACACAGGCTGCACACTGCAGCGTATATACACACACACACACACTGCATATCACAGTGTGCACATACACTGTACACTTCTCATTATTTGGTGTACAGAGTAGCCATGGTAGTCTCTTTGTCTACAAGAATGTGGGGGGGGGGGGTGGGGGGCAATATTGGCCTGCTGTTAATGTCACAATTGGAGCGTCTTACCCGCCACAACCACAGAGAAATTTCTCAGGATCTCGCCTGTCCCACTCATCACACAGAGGTACAGGCCTGAATCATCATACGTCATCTTGGTGATCTTCAGGATCTTCTGGGAAATGTGCACCCTGTCCGCAGGTGGGATTTGCTTGTCTTCTTTGTACCAGTTCACACTCATGGGTCGGCTGATGTCACAGATCAGCCTGAGTGTGTCACCGGGGTCCAGGAACAGGTGATTTGGGAGATCTGGATCTTCCCTGTCTGTTGAGAGACAATACAATACATATTAATACAGTGCCTTTCATGTCGGGTGGATGTCCCAAATCACACTCAGTGCTAGATGGACATCATGGGAGCTGAGGATGGTAGGAAGTGAAAAGATGACTGAAAGTTCAGTCAATGAGGTATGTTTTGAGACGTGACTTGAAAAAGAGAAGGGAGGGAGGGGATGAAACCTTCAGCGAGTTTCCTTAGTCCGCATGCCTCTGTTTACCTAGCAGTTATTTAGTCGACTGGCGGATTGTTTTCGGGGGTGATAATCCTCACACAAAAAAAAAATTGGTCACTCAATCCATGGCTGTTTGTGGGACACCACTTTGCGCAATTGCCTGCCGCGTTTCGCCCACAAAATACACAGTCAATCAACTTTACAATATATTCTGTAAAGCACTTTGAGATGTCTCAGTGATATGTTAAGGTGCTATATCAAATATACAAATTATTAATATTATTTTTATTATTATTATTATTAAGCATAGGAGCAAGTCAGAGAACAAGGGATGTGTTCAAAACCCAACTAACCAAAGCCACAGTGAAGCAGTCCTGCCTTCTTCTGGTCCACCCACTTACCCCTGTGGGTAGACTCCTCCTCCAGTTTGTACATAGTTCACAAAGATTGTAATTGACTTGATGTTATATTGCTCATCGTTCAAAAATCTGTGCTTTTGAAAAAACAAATAAACTCTGCTGTGATTTGGAGACCACTGAATCAATTCTGTCACTGAGCAACAGAACCCACGGGAGACAAGACACCAAGGCAACATTTAAATGCAAGCACTAGAGGTCTGATGTTGCCCAATTGTAGTATTGATATTGACCCTGCTCAACATTTCCAAGGTCACACAGACCATCAGTGTTCAAGCATTTCAAGGTGCTCTTATCAACAGCTTCACCTTTGTTGTCCTCAGATTAGCTGACATTTGATAACTGGGATTGGTTGCAAAGCCATGGGTTGAGTCTGTCCTAACTTTCTGCAATGTCATTGGGTTTGCAACCAAGGCTACTGAGTTTCATAACATTAGATTAAAAGAGTAGATATATCTATATATCTATATCTAAATCTATATATAGATAGATTTATTTTATTATATATAAATAAAACCAGGGACACCAGTAACTTACTCAGCCAGGCAGCAATCGGGTTTATTCCATGCCAGAATCAACAAACACCGGTCCCAGCATAGAGAGACTTTCAGCTGATCATTTACGCTAACACTACACTCCAATACTGGGGAAGCATTGCATTGTTGGAGGTGTCATTCTTCAGATAAGATGTTAAATTGATGTCCCATCTGCCTGTGCAGGTGGACACTAAAAATCCCATGGTTGAAAAGAGAATGGAGTTTCTCCTGGTGGCCAACAATCCCCCAAATAAAATTGATCATTCATTTTACTTCATGGCTGTTTGCGGGTCATTGTTGTGTGCAAAATGGCTGTTGGTTGTCATACAAATACATAGTCACTGCACTTTACTGGAAACTTTGTGAAGAGCTTTGAGATGTCCTTTTTGTTATAGACATTTATATCCAATGCAATGAAATATTATTGTTATACATATTTATATATCTTTTGATTATGCAGTTCCCTAATAGCCCAGTTGATAAAATCACTGTTAGTTTCCCAGGGCAAACCAGTAAAGTCCCAAATTCAATGTAATCTATTATCTGAATTCAGCTGCGTAGCAGTAAGGCTACTAGAATTGCCATATTACAGAGCTCAAGGCCTAATAGAGGCAGAGGGAAAATCACATCACTTCTGCTTCCAGATGCTGATTGCTATCGCAGTGACTCCAACAGAAAAGTGCCCAGGATTTTGGTTAAGGACATGTTTGAGCTAGGCTATGATGTCCCCAACCTTCCAATAGTCATAGAACAGACATCTGGGCAAGAGTGCCTGTGGTTATTAGTGCAACTGTAGCTTCAGAAAACAAAGGGTGGAAGCAACGTATTATTGTTATTAATATATTAGTATTAATGTAACAAAAAAACTATTTTGGTCTCTCTATTCAATGTTTCTCCAAACATAATGATGCATAATCAGCAGATAAATGGGTCAGATATTTATTCCATATCTGTGGAACAAGGAAATGAACTCGGGGCCAGGCAGGTGTTTCAGTGCCTGGGCCTCAGGCACAGATCACAACATTTAAAACAATCCCAATATTCGCCTAAAACATATTCAGTCACTCCACTTTACAGTAAATTATGTGAAGCGCTTTGAGACGTCCTCCTGACATGGAAGGAGGTACATCAAATGCAAGTATTATTATTACGTTATTGCAGCTTAAATCACTCTGAGGAAGTAATTGTTAAGTGGTTTTCAGTGATTGGTCAGCCAGACCAATAACACTGCCACGTTACATATAATTATTATTATTATAAAAATAATCCTTGCAAATTAATGGATGCTACTTTTCTTACTAACGTTTGAGCTTCCTAAAATTGCTATTTTTTGCAGGAGATTGATATTTTGTTCACCAGGTATTTTGTCGAGTCATTTCTGAATAGTCTTAGCAGTCCCAGTTGAACCGATAATTATAGGAACTATGTTTGTTTTATATTGTCACATATGTCTGCATTATTATTATTCATAATATTTTTTCGGTACATATTAAAATGTTGCTTCTCCATTATGATACAATAATAATATTGTATTTGATATATCATAGAATCATAGAATTATACAGCACAGAAGGAGGCCATTTGGCCCATCATGTTTGTGCCGGGGCCAGCGCTGTATCACTCAAGGTTTGTGTGAAGCAGCATTTACTGTTTTGTTCAAAATCAATGTCCCGGATTATCTTTGCATTAAAAGAAACAGACGGGAGGTTAGGAATTTTTTTTNCACCCAACAAGTTGTTCGGATCTGGAATGCATTACCTTAAAGGGTAGTGGAAGCCGATTCAATAACAACTTTAAAGAGAAAAGTAGATGGGTATTTGGGGAGGACAGGATTGCAGGGCTATGGAGAGAAAGCGGGACAGTGGGATTGAGTTGGATTGCTCTTTTAGGATCTGGCGCAGATGCGATGGGCCGAATGGCCTCTTTCTGTGCTGTATGATTCTATGATTATAGTCACTAGAGGTTTCCCCATTATTGACATTAGGCTGACTGGCCTGTAGTTCCTGGGTTTATCCTTCTGCCCCGTTTTGTACAATAGTAATAATAATCCTTGCATTTGAAATAGGGCCTTATCATGCCGTTGCGACATCTTAAAGCACTTCACAGAATATACTATGAAGTGGATTGACTGTGTATTTTGTGGGAGAAACGCAGCAGCCAGTTGCACACAGCAATGTCTCACAAACAGCCATGAAGTGAGTCATCAATTTTATTTGGGGGTATTGACACCGGGAGAAACTCCCTTCTCTCTTCAAATAATGCCATGGGATCTTTAACATCCACCTGAACAGGACCTCGCTTTTATGCCTCATCTGAGAGACTGATGATAATTACTGCCTCAAATGGCATCAATTTATCCAATGTGTTGTGCATAACGAAACTTCTGTCTATTGGCACCTGCATCATAGCTGCAGCTAAAGAGGGTATGTTTGTACGTTTATTGCGATACCTTTTCACTGAGATGAAGAAATTGAGCTTTATGGGGTTTAGACCATTCAGTATATTGATGTCCAGATATTTTACATATTCAGAGATAATTCTTCAGTGCCCAATAGCTTGCTATTATAATAATAATAATCCTTGTATTTGATATAGCGCTTTTCACGTCTTCTAGGTGTCCCAAAGCGCTTCACAGAATATACTGTAAAGTGAATTGACTTTATATTTGTGGGCGAACGCGGCAGCCAATTGTGCACAGCAATGTCCCACAGACAGTTGTGGATTGAAAATGACCAATTTATTATTGTTTTGTTTTGGAGGGATTATTATTAGGCTCTGTGTGGAGTAAGGAAACTTGCCCAAGGTTTCGCCCTGTCTGGAATTCCTAATCACTTGCAAAGCGAGTGCTCTAACCACTGAGCTACAGGACTCCTATTCATTCATTAAAAAACAAGTGCTTTTTAGTTGACTTCCGTCTCTGCAACAATTAAATACTCCTGAAAATTAGCCAAGTTCCTTCACCTTCCATTCAAGAGGGGCATCACAGAGTTGATACCAGGCAGTGTGAACTCCGTGCCTTGTCCAGTTGCTGCGTGTGTGAGACGCTCACTCCATTCACAGTAAGCTGACAGCTTCTGTTTCTGGTACCAGGAAGGGAGGGCGGGGAGACGACAGTAGTGGGCGTGGGGTGGGGGTGAGAAGCGCTTGAATGACCCTCTCTGAAGTGGCAGACAGGCTCACATCTCTCTTTCCTGCCTCCAGTCCTGCGCCAGTCTTGGCTGGGGGGCCTGCAGTCTCGTCTCGCAGCCCGATTGCTACGAAGAGGGATAGAGTGACACAGAATTAAACCCAAACGGGTACTCTTTATGCACAAATGTACAGAGTTCCCATGGACAATAAATGGGCCATCACTCAAAAGCAGACTAGATTACAGTGCGCATTTCAGTGGACAAAGGGCTGTCTCTGGGTCAAGACTTTAGGGGCAGTTTGTGAGAAAGGCTAATGAGATCTGAAATAGCAAATCTGTCAATAACAGATAACGGGGAGATGACAGGAGTGGCGGTGGGGTGGCGGTATGATAATACTCCTCCATTTAATCCTGTGTGCATAATATGATAATACTCCTCCATTTAACCCTGTGTGCACTGAGAGCTACTGACACATTTTACAAACCTCCACTCTCAACAATCTGCCCGTGGCCCACTCCTGACTGAGCAGCAGCAGTGGTTCCCTTAAGCCACTGAGCGAATCCAGCAGTTTCAAATGTCCTTTTACAGTACGTTCACCTACAAAATACACAGTCTCTACAGTTTACAACTGTGTAAATCCTGCGGAATGCTTTGAGACGTTCTCCTGACATGATAGACTTTATACTAAATGCAAAGATTATTATTAAATAAGAAATATTATTTTATTATTGCACTTCAAGTCACTCTGCAGAGATAATTTCTAAGTGGTTTTCAGTGATGGGTCAGCCAGACCAATAACACTGCCATGTTACATGTGGATGGATGTTACTTTTCTTAGTATGTTTGAACTTCCTAAAATAGCTACTTTTTGCAGGAAGTTGATACGTTTTATTCACCAGATATTTGTCAAGCCAATTCTGAATAGTCATATTAACAGTTCCAGCTGCACCAATAACTATGGGAGCTAAGTTTGTTTTATATTGCCACATATGTCTGCATTCAATTTGTAGATCAATATATTTCCTGATCTTCTCTAGTTCCTCATTTCTTACATTGTGGAGTCATGCAGCTTAGTGGTTAGAAAATTCTTCTCACAAGCAAGAGACCTGGGTTTGATTCCCAGCAGGACAAAATGTTGGGCAAGTTTCCTTACTCTACACACCTCTGTTTATTTAGCAATAAGTACGAACCCGGTTGTTAGTCGATTGGCAGATCACTTTTCCGGGGTTAATAATTCCTTCAAAAAAATAAATAAACTGGTTACTTCAATGCACAACTGTTTGTGGGACACTGCTGTGTGCAATTGGCTGCAGGGTTTCGCCCCCAAATATGCAGTCAATTCACTTTACAGTATCTTCTGTGAAGCGCTTTGAAACGTCTCGAAGACGTGATAAGGCACTATATCAAATACAACAATTATTATTATTGTTTAGTATTATTATAATCACTTGGGATATCTTCCAAAAGGTGGGGGCAGACCTGACATCAGATAGTGGGGTAAGCAGGGCGGTGGACATGGAGCTGAGCAGAGAGCGCGGATACCTTAAAGCCATATATTGTTATGGTGAGCTGTGTTGGTGCGTGAGGATGGGAATTTTATTTTTTTTTGTCACATAATCTGAAATCGCAACACATTGCTGGTGTGCAGCCTTACCTGGCAGGCTGCTGCTCTCTTTCTGCTGGGACAGCATGGGCCTCGACAGCGTAAGCGTATGGAGAGTGAGCAACCACAGACAGAGGTTGTGCAACATCTGACTCATTCCTTTTTTCTGTGTTGTAAATCAAAGGCACGACAAACCCTCCAACTCTCGGCTCCTCAGCCACTTCGCGCACTCATTGGTGACAGCGAGAGACTTCAACACGGCTCAATTCAGCGGTAATGCGCACTCATTGGCAGGGTCCCTGGTCTTCCTTGCAAACTGACAGACAAGAGAATAAAGACAATGATCAGAAGTGCTCAACTCAGCACAACAACTTCCACCTCCCCCATTCTATCCAAACATGGTCGATTGGCAGAATGGTTACCTGGGGTAATATTTTTAAAAAATTTGGTCATTCAATCCACAATTGTTTGGGGGACACTATTTTTTCCACACACTCAATTCACTTTACAATATATTCTGAAGTGCTTTGAGACATCTCAACTATGTGATAAGGTGCTACATCAAATGCAAGGATTATTATTATAGCGCTTGTACTGAAGTACTTTGAGAGTTAATGGTGTATCCCTTTGCTGTATGAGCAGGCTATAACAGCTGAACCTCCCATCTGCAATGCGTTATCAATGCGGCTGTAATTCCCTTCTGTAATAGAACCAAGAGGCACAAAATCCCACTTAGAATGGACCTGGAAGACCATTTTATCCTAAAAGTTAAGAACATTGAGAATTGTGAAAAATTCTTTAACTTAATCTAAATTTATAAAATGGTTCTTTTTAAGAACTGCCAAGAAACAAAAAACACAATTTCTAAATTAGGATTTAATTTTACAAATTTTCCACAATTTCTGCTCTTAGTTTCTCTCAAGAGTTTTTCCGGTTAGGACTGTTGCTTAATTTGTTTGATGAAACCCTTTTGTCTGCAATATACATTTACAATACAATAAAAAATGTACCTTTACACCATTCACATCGGAAGGATGTCCCAGAGTGCTTAACATGCTCTCAGCTCTGAGACACTCTGTTATTTCCTCTGTTCACACCATATCTACACGCATATCCCACACCTCTGTCCATCTTACAACTTGTGTCCTAAACTACTGCTATGTGTGAAGTCTGATGTACAGCAATGAGGCTGTATTAGGTACATGTATGGGGAGGTGGTTTGCATTTTATCATGGGCAACACAACATTTTGTTCATCTCTTTGCATTCTGCCTGAGCTAATACAGGCCTTTAACAGGTACTTCCCCTTTAACTGGATGCCATTAAATCTTCTTTATGTCCCTTTGCTATTCAGTGGACACAAACAGTCTGACACTGTAGTGGCACCATAGAGTCACTCTGGTATTTAAAGGTAAAATCTCCCTGTTTCTTAAGTTTCACAGGAAAGGAAACTCTACCCTGCATTAGCTTCTTTACTTGCGGCAGATCTGCAAACAGCTTGTGAAACGAGCCACTCTCGACTAACAGTAAGCTCTCTGTCCACTGAAGAGAGCGTATGGACTCAATCCCGCTCTCTCCTCCCCCTGTTGTTTTAAAGTTGGGATGTGACATAGCTTCTGCTCAACACAGGGAAGCAATTCTTCTGTCATTCTCTGTTGCTTGTCTACCTCTTTTAAGGGCCACCTGATAATTTCACAGTTATCGCAACATTGATAAAAGGAGCCTCGTACATTCCAAAGTAGCTCGAACCTCAGATAATAATAAGAATCTTTGTATTTGACATAGTGCCTTATCACGTCGTTGAGATGTCTCAAAGTGCTTCACAGAATATATTGTAAAGTGGATTGACTGTGAATTTGTGGATGAAATGCAGCAGCCAATTGCGCAAGCAGTGGCCCTGAAACAGTCGTGGATTGAGTGATTTTTTTTGAGGAAATTATTACCCCCGGAAAGTGATTTGCCAGTCGACTAATAACCAGGTTGCTACTTACTGCTAGGTAAACAGGCGTGTGGAGTAACAACAACTTGCATTTATTTAGCACCCTTCATGCAGGCTCCTGGAGCATTTGACGGTGGTGAAGAGTCTGAAGCCGAGCCAGGGAGAGAGGGAAGGGGTAGGTGATCATAAGCACGACCAAAAAGGAAGGTCTTTAGGTGGGGTTAGGGGGAGGGACTGAGGAGTCAGCCAGGAGAATGTTGTCAATCTTAGAAATAAAGAAGTCCAGGCCCTCTTTGACCTTGGCATCTGAAGTGAGGATCGAGGGTGGTTGAGAGGGGGCGTGGAGGAGGTGGTGGGTAGTGGAGAAAAGGATTTGGAGGTTATTTTTGGCCTTGAAGATGACCTGTGAATAGAAGGCAGTTTTGGCTTGAGAGAGGGAGTGGCAGTGGATATGAAGGTGCTCGAGCCACAGTTGCCGGTGAACCATGAGGCTGGTTTTGTGCCATCTATGCTCGAGCAACGGGTTTGGGATTTGAGGGAGCGGAGATGGCTGTTGCACCAAGGGGAGCAGGTAGCTTTGAGATCGTCCTGGTTTTCAGGAGACGAGGGAATTAAAGGTGGTGGAGCGGTGATTGTTTAGCAACCTAATGGCTGCGTCTGGATCACTACAGGTGGAAGGCCAGAGGGAGAGAAGGTCAGAGGGTGAGAGGGTGTTTGTGAGGGACTCGGGGGGAAGCTTTTTTCATGGGCGAAAAACTATGGTGGAGGCTTGGAGGAAGGTAGGGTGATACGACAGGAGAGGGAGATGAGTAAGTGGTCTGAGACGGTCTTGTCTGTCATGGTCATATCAGAAATGTCTAGGCCATGAGTGATGATGGGGTCAAGGGGGTGATCACAGTTGTGGATCGGGGAGTTGATGTGGAGGGTTCAGGGTGGAGAGGAGGGTAGTGAATTCAGAGGAGATGGGGCAGGGGGAATTGAGATGCAAATTGAAATCGGCCATTATGAGCAGACGTTTTGTGTAGAGGGACAGAGATGAGAGGAGATATCTGCGAGGAAGGAACCAGGAGGTTTGGGGTGGGGGTTGAGGGTAAACTAGAAGAATTTTGAAGGAAAGAGAGGAGGGTGAGGTGCTCACAAGAGGGGAAACAGCCAGAGGAATAGGGGGATAGATCAAGGGAGGTTTTTGGAGATGAGGGCCACTCTGTTGCCACATTGGTTGGAGGGAAGCTTCAATGAGAGGGACAGAGTCAATGGGGGACAGCCAGGTTTCTGTGAGCCTGAGAATGTCTATTTGCTCATCCAGGATTAGGTCATGGATTGTAAGAGCTTTATTGGAGAGGGGGCGGACATTTTGGATGCCAATGCGAGTGGGGGCGCAGGCGGGGGAAAGTTTGCGGGAGGTTGTAGATTGTGGTGGTTGGGGGGGTGGGGGTGGGGTGAACCACTACGCTATGAGATTTCAAATACCACCCCACCCACCTACCTACAACCTGCCCCACCCAAACCACTTTGTCTCTTGCATTGGTTGCTTGTGCAGCATTTGTCAAATGGAATTAGACAAACTCTGTGTCGTGTTGTACAAGCTCTTCTCTAGTCAATTAACAGATACATTTCACACAACATTCCTAGCTACAGCCTCTGCACAATGCTCGGAAGCCGGCTGGGTACTCTCCAACTATGCCAACAATGAATTGGAGTAATATGGGAAGGGAGTTTCTGGGGAATTCAGGGAGTATCATGTGCTTGTGCTTCACTGTATCACAAAATAGTGGCTGAGACACAGTGAGAGGGACAGGCAGACCCTGACTGCAAGACAGTGAAAATTCCAGAGACCCACCCATTCCGTGATCAATTTCCAGTTTCTCCATGTCCCTAGTTTAAGTCCAGCCATTGTGCAATACTGACCCAGATTACACACAGCCAACAAAAGGGCTGATCTCAGCACTAACCATGCCAAAAAAAGCAGCTCACATCAATTCCTGTCTGAGCGGATCTAAAATTTACAGCATTTTGGGGGGGGAAGATGACATTTGGAAGCCCCTTTAATTCACCCTTCATTTGTATAGCGCCTTTAATGTTTGGAGTCCTCCTCAAAGCACTTCACAGGATTTACTGAGAGTGCAGCAACTGTTCTGTAAGATGAAAACACCATCCAATGCAGATATAATTCAACCAGTGTTGAAGAACAAATATTTCCACTTGGCTTACTCAGTGCACTGATATCAGTGAGGAAATGGAGATAAAATACACTGCAAACAAATGCCAGAATGAACAGCCTCCCTCACCCCCAATGTGATCACTCCCACCCACATTGAGCTGATACAGCTGTACTCTCTTCCCTGATCCAGGTACTTTCACGTCATGCCCATCACTACACTATCTGGTGTAGCTTAACAACATTGGAAGGTGACTGCTTCTATCCATCGCCTCTCAAATAGACATGTTTAGCAAGTTGCTTGAGTGGAGATAAACATTCTGTTTCACATAGGAGCTCCACATAATATGCCAAAGCACCAGATCACATCCCCATTCACCTTTGGGATCTTGCCCACACAAATATACAGTATACTCTGTGAAGCGCTTTGAGACAGCTCAATGATGTGATAAGGGGCTATATCAAATGCAAGGATTATTATTATTATCTCAACATCTGGATCAATTGAAAAACAATAACTTTCATGAATCTCCCCCACCCCCCCCTGGCAATTGCTGGCACGAGGCAACAGGGTTATTGCCGCTTATTGGAAGTGTACTGCAGCAAAGCTAGACAGTGTCTCTGTGAGCCCTCGAGAGAATGGACAAGAGTGATTTGTGTGCATCAGCTAGTAATTGTAAGAGTGTGTATTTACGTGTAATAGGATATGTGTGTTTGTGCTATATCAGATAGGGTGCTGTTTGGGTAAATATGTAATTGCATGAAAAAGGGTGTGTGACTGAATGAAATAGGATGTGTGTTTGTACATGTGAAACAAGAAATAGGTGCATGCGTTTACATGTGTCTGTGTGCGTGTGTGTTTGTGTGAGCTGGAGTTTGTGTGATCACAAGTGGAGTCCTGTAGCTCAGTGGTTAGAGCACTCGCTTTGCAAGCGAGAGACCTGAGTTCAATTCCAGGCAGGACGAAACCTTGGGCAAGTTTCCTTACTCCACACACCTAATAATAATCCCTCCAAAACCAATGATAAATTGGTCATTTTCAATCTACGACTGTTTGTGGGACATTGCTGTGCGCAATTGGCTGCCGCGTTCGCCCACAAATATACAGTCAATTCATTTTACAGTGTGTTCTGTGAAGCGCTTTGGGACGTCCTCTCGACGTGAAAAGCGCTATATCAAATGCAAGGATTATTAAATGCACCCACTAGCAGGAGTCGAGTACAAATAATGGGGCAGTTCAGGGCAATCTTCCCACTTTGATTTTCGACCAAATTAAAAAAATATTCTGGAAGGCTGAGACAATAATAATAATAATGCTTGCATTTGATATAGCGCTTTTCACGTCGGGAGGACGCCCCAAAGTGCTTCACAGAACACACTGTAAAGTGAATTGACTGTATATTTGTGGGCGAATGCGGCAGCCAATTGTGCACAGCAATGTCCCAGATCAATGAAATCAGATCAATAGAGACTGGGTGGTTCTGTTTGGAAAAGATTTTCAATCAGGATCCAGCTCTCATTCCCAGGAATGGCTTTCATAATCTTTACATATTTCACCGTACAATTAAATTGAGAACTTAGTTCACAGTCTTCACCACAGCAAGCATCCGATTAAACTATTATTCATTAACAGGAAACTCTGTGTTATGCTTTGAGGTATATCTGAGCTGGGGAAAGAGAAAGGAGAACAAGATTTTCAGACTTTTCCTCATTCCCTCCCATGTATAACCAGAGAATGTTACAATAGCATAACTCTAAGCTACAAGCAAAAACAGAAGTCGCTGGGAACACTCAGCAGGTCAGACGGCATCTAAGGAGAAAGGAAAGTGAGTCAACATCTCGGGTCCACGATTCTTCATCAGTACGCTGATGAATGGTCGTGGACCCGAAACATTGACTTGCTTTCCTTTCTCCATAGATGCTGCCTGACCTGCTGAGTTTTCCCAGCTCCCTCTGGTTTTGGTTTCAGATTTCCAGCACCTGCAGTGTTTTGTTCATTAAAAAGGCTAATGGGGGTGGGGGCAAAGGGCAGTGAGCAGACTAAATGGACAGCTCTTTCAGAGAGCCAGCACAGGCACGATCGTCCAAATGGCCTCCTTCTGTACTCCAAAATTGTATAATTTTAATACACCTCTTGTCAAACCCTGCAATACATCCTATTCTTGCCTGACACTCACAGTGTGATCCACGCTGGGACACGACCCAGTTCTCAGCATTTAGCAGAGAAAGTGAAATTGGTCTCGAGTAGCTGGAGTGACGGAAAGTTGTTGGAAACATTCCGATCTCCAGGCAGCTGAAGCCAATGTAATTTAGAGTGTAATATTCACAGGTCCTTCGCAGTAAAGGAGGGCAGCAGCCACTCGCTATAACACAGTATGTGTGTTAAAACAGGAGGCATCTGGTATTTGCTATATTATAGAAACAAAACTACTGCCTGTGCAACAGAACATTTATTATATGGAGGTGTAAATAACAACAAACTTCATATAAACACACACAAATCCATATATTACATATGCACCAATGTATACGTACAGACATGTACACATACTACTGTACAGCAACAACAAGATTCCATTTAAAGAGCGCCTTTCATGTCGGGAGGACGTCCCAAGGCACTGTACAGTTGGGTCAGGACCCGAGCAGGGGGGAAATGGTCAGGGTGAGGGGAGGGAAGGGAGGGAGCGAGGAGGGGGGAAATGGTCAGGGTGAGGGAAGGGAAGGGAGGGAGCGAGGAGGGGGGAAATGGTCAGGGTGAGGGGAGGGAAGGGAGGGAGCGAGGAGGGGGGAAATGGTCAGGGTGAGGGGAGGGAAGGGAGGGAGCGAGGAGGGGGGAAATGGTCAGGGTGAGGGGAGGGAAGGGAGGGAGCGAGGAGGGGGAAATGGTGAGGGGAGGGAAGGGAGGGAGTGAGGAGGGGGTAGAGAGTCCAGAGGGGAGCTGAAGGCACAATACATACATATATAGTATATACACGTATACAACACATAAACATATGCACCCACACATATTTACATAATAATATACCTTACATTTGATATAGCGCCTTATCACGTTGTTCAGATGACTCAAAGGGCTTTACAGAATAAACTGGAAAGTGAATTGACCGTCTATTTTGTGGGCGAAACATACATACACACATCTATATATATATATCTACACAATATATTATATATATCCACATATGTCCCATTACTTACCAGAATCACGTCTCTGTTGATCTCCGGACTGGTGCAGGAGACCTGACAGATGTTGAGGCTCTCTGAATCCCTCAGTCCAGGCTCTTGGTGCCGATGTCTCGCTGATCCGCACAGTCTGTCTCCATCAATGTGCTCATCAGACAGTGCAGTTTCACACACACACACACACACAGGAGCCTCAGCACTAGTCAGAAGAATAAGAAAGTCTCCCCACCGGAGCTCCAGACAAATCGGTGCCTAAAAACCCAGCGAAAGGGAGAGCAATGAGAATGTGTGTGGAAGGGACATTACAGAGAGCTGAGAGATATCACAGTGATTGCGGCTGCAATCTCAGGAAAGGCTCCCTCAGGCTGACTCATCCACCAAGAAATCCAGCCCCGTCCTTTTTCTTATTTCCTTGTCCTTTTTCCTTCCTTTCCCTTCTTCAAGATCGCTCCAACAGTTTCTTGCAAGAAATGCCACAAACAGCAACAAAAATCTGCTCCTGTGAGGATCTGCCTCCAGTTTAGCTGTAAACTCCTCTCACACAAACTGCGGATCTCATAGTCACAAACGAAGTTAAATCCAAAGTCAATAACGCCGGATTCCAGACTGAAAACCTCTTGTTTACCCACTTGGCTGCACAAACTCACAACAAAAAGGAAAAAAAGGTTTCTCAGTTCCAGGGCTGATGTGGCAGCGCTGAGCCCCTGTGCTCCCGCGGAGAGAGAGAGAGAGAGAGAGAGTCTGTGGGGGACAGTCACTGCCGGAGAGAGAGAGAGAGAGAGAGCGCGGCTGAGTTTTCCCTTTGCTCGGGAGCAGCGGCTCTCAGCGGCCCCGACTGCCGTCCTCCAGCCACTGGGGATCTCTATTGCCAAACTCCTGCCCTCACAGTGCTCAGAAGCATTAGAAATCTCAATTAGCAGCTCTCTCGTTACACCCACTGTATTGCTGCTCGGCTCCAGCTCTCTCTCTCACTCACTCACTCTCAGGGTAACAATAATTCTGAAAGGGAACTGAAAGAGAGAGGGGTGGTTCCTCTCTTTAGTACCTCCCTCTACCCCCCAAGTCTGCACTACGAAATCTTTTCACACAGCAAAATTTGGTGGTGGTGTGTTGTGGGGTTGTGGATGGAAAGCAGTGTTTTGTGCTGTCTGTGGAGAATAGGATTAACCCTTTTCAATACTGGGCTCTCATTCGCAACAATGACAATTTGCTATGATATCATGATATCAAGATCAACTGGGGGTGGGGGCCTGGATCTCACAGCTCCAGTCTCTCAGCTCCGGTACTTTTTTGTACTACAACAAAATTACATTTGTACAGTGCTTTTCATGTCGTTACATCAGGAGGATGTTCCAAGACGCTGGAGTTTTGGACCTGAGCTAGGGGTCAGGATCGGGGAGGATGGAGGGCAGGGGGGGAAGGCGGGTGATTAAAGGCACAGTCGAAGAGTAGGGACTTGAGACGGGTCTTGAAGGAGGAAAGGAAGGGGGCGAGATGGAGTGACTGCGGAATGGAGTTCCAGAGGGTAGGGCCAAAGTGGCAAAAGGCCCTCCCGCCAATGATGGGGCAGGTATGGAGATCGCAGAGGTAGGGGGGAGAAAGACCACAGAGGGCTTTGAAGGTGAGGACCAGGATCTTGACCTGTATCCTCTGTGTGATGCAAAGCCGGTGGAGTTGGGCGAGGATGAGGTGATAACTTTGCAGAGTCTTGTGCGGCAGAGGACACTGGATGATCTGCAGCCTATGGAGGGAGGAGCTGGGGAGGCTGACAAGGAGGGAGTTTGCGTGTATAAGAGTCTCGGTAAGACAATGGCAGAGCCGGGCGATGTTGGGGAGGTGGGGGAAGGCAGAGTGGGTCATGGCATGGATGTGGGGTAAAAAGTATAGTTGAGGGTCAAACAAGACGCCAAGATTCTGGACTAGCTCAGTAAGGTGCAGTGTGCATCCTTGGATGGTGATGCTGTCAGTGCCTGAGGTGCGGAGGTGCTGACGAGAGCCAATCAGGAGAGCCTCAGTCTTGTTGACATTCAACTGTTGAAAGTTAGCTCTCATCCAGGACTTGATGTCTGACAGACATTCTGTCAGCACAGCAGTGGTCCTGGAGTCGAGGGTGGAGGCAGAGAGATAGAGTTGGGTGTCATCTGCATATATGTGGAAGTTGACCCCATGTCTGTGAATGATGTCACCAAGAGGGAGCATATAAATATTGAAAAGGAGGAGACCAGGGACAGAGCCCTGAGGAACTCAGAGGAGAAACTGTTTGTGGAGATGAAGTGGAGATGGTGTGAGAGGTAGAATCTGAACCATTCAAGGACAGAACCATGAAGGTTGAGGTGAGAGAAGAGGAGGTGGATGAAGGTAGAGTGGTCAACAGTATCGAAGATAGGAGAGAGGTCAAGGAGGACAAGGGGGCAGAGGGAGCCCTGGTCGCAGATGGACAAAATGTCACCCATCCACTGGAATTCAGGTTTTTTGCAGTTTCATTTATTCGATTTTAGGAGTTAAATTTGTCCCATTTCATAACATTATGACAGATGTTCTGTCGATTGGGGAGCCTGACAACCTAGGCATGGACAATATTTAGAAACAGGAGTTTAAGGAATGTGTCATTGAAAGAAATGGTGTTGTTATCGTATGTCCTGTTTTGGGATGAGGCTGCAGGCTGCTTGTATCAACTCACTGTGTTAACCGTAATAAATCAATGCTTAAAATCTGTGGAATGAGAAGAGGCTATTTGAATGATTCATTGTTATCCTCCAAAGACCTGTCACCTACAAAGACCTGGAGATGTCCAGGATTCTTAAACATAACTTGCATTTATATAGCGTCCATTGCACTAGATAATGTCTTGGACTGCTGAAAAATTGGGACTATTGTATAATTATAATCCTAGTATTACAGTGAAATGCCTCAAAACGCTTTTATTGCCTATTGTTTTTGCAGTCAGTTCGTGCACAGCAACATCTCATGAACAGCTGTGAAGTGAATGACTAATTAATTAATTAATTCATTCATGATTTGTTAGTGGATTGGCAGATAGCTTTCCAGGGATAATATTTCACTCAATCCACAACTGTTTGTGGGATACTGCTGTGCGCAATTGGCTGCTGCATTTCACCCACAAAATGCACAGTCTTTACAGTATATTTACAGTATATTATTATAATAATAATAATAATCCTTATAATAATAATAATCTTTGCATTTGATATAGTGCTTTTCACGTCAGGAGGACGTCCCAAAGCTCTTCACAGAACACACTGTAAAGTGAATTGACTGTATATTTGTGGGCGAACACAGCAGCCAATTGCGCACAGCAATGTCCCACAAACAGTCATGGATTGAAAATGACCAATTTATTATTGCTTTTGGTTTTGGAGGGATTATTATTAGGCTCTGTGTGGCGTAAGGAAACTTGCCCAAGGTTTCGTCCTCTGCCTGGAATTGAACTCGGGTCTCTCGCTTGCAAAGCGAGTGCTCTAACCACTGAGCTACAGGACTCCTGCATTTGATATAGCGCTTTTCACGTCGGGAGGACATCCCAAAGTGCTTCACAGAACACACTGTAAAGTGAATTGACTGTATATTTGTGGGCGAACACGGCAGCCAATTGCGCACAGCAATGTCCCACAAACAGTCGTAGATTGAAAATGACCAAGTTTTATTATTGTTTTTGGTTTGGGAGGGATTATTATCAGGCGTATGGAGTAGGGAAACTTGCCCAAGGTTTCGCCCTCTGCCTGGACTTGAACTCAGGTCTCTCGCTTGCAAAGCGAGTGCTCTAACCACTGAGCTACAGGACTCCACATTCTTGAAGCGCTTTGAGACATCTCAACAATGTGAAGAGGCGCTATACCAAATGCAAAGATTATTATTGTTAATCTGGAGGGACACTAGTCCTGGACACTCGGGGAAACTTCATTTATTTTTCATTTCTGACTTGAAAGGCACTCCATAAATGTAATTTTGTTTTTTGTATTATATTCTTGGATTGTTAACGTTAACCAGGTGACCAGCATACATAATCTTAATTTAGCATCTCATCCCGAAAAGTGGTATTGCAGCATTCTCCCCAGGGTTGTCTATGACTGGTGCTCAAGTGTTAGTAAGAGCCACAGAAGGTTGCACAGAGTATGGCTAGGAATTGGGGTATGAAACCAGCAACCTGCCAACATTGTCTAATACACATAGTATAAACAAGTTATTTTAAATAAAGCAGGAGGGAGGGGGTGTCACAAACCTTGCGATTCAATTGCGAATGAGGGCGGGGGTGGTGTGGGGGTGTGGGCAGAAGGATATTGTCACAAAGCCTACCATCCAGCCACTGATACTTTTGATTAAAGTTCTCTGTGAGTAGGAGATTTATAAACAGGACAGTCAGTAATCTCCAAAACCCTGCATTCCAACCAATGGTCCCTGAATCACAACTTGAGGCAAATGAACACACAGCACACAGCTAATACCTCACATTCAGTCCGGGAAAAGACCCATGGCTCCTTGTTGTTGGTGCTTGCCATACACAAGAATATGCTACTTAAAGCCCATTCTACTTTTGTTCTTCCGATTTTTCCCTCTGTCTGAGCTATCTGCACGCTGTCCCAATGCGCATGCACAGAGGTCATTTCAGATAAGTCACTGTTAAATCTCTCTTTATTCCAGTTCCACGTATTTTCTTGTAGAAAGTTGACTAGCCTTTACATTAAGAATAATAATGGTCACATTTGATACAGCGCATTTCATTCACGTTGAGGGGAATGTTTCAAAGCACTCCACATGACTCACTGTCAAGTCTTGTGACTGTGTATTCGTAAGGTGAACATGGGCATTAAATTAAATTATAAATAGTATTTTACCCTGCACTGCATTGTGGATAAAATAATCCTTGCATGCATTTGATATGGGACCAGCAGCCTGCAGCCTCATCCCAAAACAGGACATATGATAACAACACCATTTCTTTCAATGACACATTCCTTGAACTCCTGTTTCTAAATATTGTCCATGCCTGGGACAATATGTTGGCTATTTGGCTCAAAGTGCTTCAGAGGGAATTGCTGCTAGTGTAGTGACTGTATTTTTGAAGGAGAATGCAGCAGCCAATTTTGCACACAGACAATGTTAAACAGGTGATTCACTGAAGTTCAGATGAATGTTGGCCAGGACACCAGGGTAAACTCCATTCTATTTTAAATTGTATCAACATCCACCTGAATACTGCCTTGGGACGTCCTCCTGATGTGAAAGGTGCTATATAAATGTAATTTCTTGTTGTTGTTGAACAGGCAAATCGGACCTTGATTTAATATCTCACCTACAAGGAATCTGACAATGCAGCGCTCTTCCATCATTCCATGGCAACTGAGAGAAAGAGCTTGCATTTTTATAGTGCCTGTAGTATGAAAACATCCCAAAATGCTTCACTGTAATTGCTGTCAGGTATAGTGCCTCTTTTACACAGCTGCCATTTTGTGCACAGCAAAGTGCAACAAACAGCTAGAAGTTAATGACCAATTTATTTGGAGGTTTGTTGTTGGCCAGGACTCCGGGAGAAACCCTCCTGTTTCTCAGATTCATAGAATCTTTAACAGCCACCGAGTGGGACCTCAGTGTGAGCATACTCAATACTCAGTGCATGTTTGGAGGGCGGGGGGTGGCAGGGTTGTGAGGATCACACTGTGGGGAAGCAGTCAAGTGCTTTGTGGGACATTGCTGTGCGCAATTGGCTGCCGCGTTCGCCCACAAATATACAGTCAATTCACTTTACAGTGTGTTCTGTGAAGCGCTTTGGGACGTCCTCCTGAAGTGAAAAGCGCTATATCAAATGCAAGGATTATTATTATTATTATTATTATCCAATACAAGCCGGCTAAGATGGTCATTTCACATTTCCAACAATGAGCAGTTTGGAAGAGATACCAAAAAGGAGTTGTTTTAATTGTTATGAGCACATAGGGTGGGGATAGAGGGAGGCTTGGCATTCAAAGGTTAATGTGGCAGAAAACT